TGGGAGGCATAATCTGCAGTTGAATACAATGTCTTTCTTCGGGGATGAAAAGAAAGAAAGAAAATGTGAGTTGGTTTGATTTTAAGGCTGTTGCCCAGGAGACCTGTTGATGTTAGGCTATATATATATATATATATATTTTGTTATGATGTTGCAAATTACACATTATCTACCGATAGTGCCACAATAATGTACCATACATCTGTCAGTCCTATTCTTCAAAAAACATACAGCCATAACATTGTGACCAGCTGGGCACCCTGGTGGTCAGAATGTTCTGCAGCCCCATACCAACAAACTGTGATGCACTGTTTGTTCTGACCCCTTTCTATCAGAACCAGCATTAACTGTTTCAGCAGTTTGAGCTACAGTTGCTCGTCTGTTGGATCGGACCACACGGGCCAGCCTTCACTCCCCATGTGCATCAGCCTGCATGTCTCCTGTTCACCGCTTTTCCTTCCTCACACTGCCCATTTTTCTGCTTCTAACACATCAACTTTGAGGACAAAACATTAATTTGCTGCCTAATATATCCCACCCACTGACAGGAGCCATGATAACCAGATAATCAGTGTTTTTCACTTCACCAGTCAGTGCTCAGAATGTTATGGCTGATCGGTGTATATACTGTATAAATCCCTAACTGAATACCTCATGTGAGGTTCAGTAAAGTTATAGGTTAACAATACAAAAAGTAAGACAGCTTCCCTTATGCATATTTAGTACTATTCTGGAAGAATTTAGCATGATGACCAAGGTAATTGTTTCCTGGATTTTGCATTAATTACAGTAGTCCCTAACCTTGCAATGTTATGCCAGGCTTCAGTCTATGCGTTTGAGAAAAGTAAAACTAACTAAATTTTCTAAGGTAAAAATAATATTTTTGAAGTAGCTTTAGTAATTTTAAGTGAGAATGACTTCATTTGTCATTTTTATTTGTACTGTGAAAACAAAATTCCTACTAAAAAGTATTTAATCAGGAATGTTTCTGTAAGTTAGAAACTAATTTAGTACCACTTAAAATTGCTAGTAAAGGCGGCCTGATCAAGACTTTTTTTGCACCTAAAGCCTTTTGTTACTTAAAAAAAGTGATGAGTTAAATGAACTTTTACAGTTGTGGTTTTACAGTGCAGGACTTTAGAGGTTTTGTCTTGGTACTTAACATGACCGCATTTCTTTTAAGGCAAACATTTAATTTTATCAGTATTCTGAATGCATATGCAAATTATTTGATGGCAGGCTTTCCAAGTGATAGCAGGACTTTCCTGGCCCTGAAAGCCCACAGAGCCCTGCTGTAGTACACTCAAACAGGGCACTGAATCCCAACCACGTTCAGAAGTTTCTAACTGTAGAATCTGAGGACAGGAGAAAGTGGTCAGTGCTTCATCGCTGAATAAAACCAAACACACATTCACCTTCAAGTCAGTGAAGAATTTAACATGCTGGCTGATTGTAAAACATTTGCTCTTCAAGGATGGCAGGGGGTTTCAGGGGGTCACCACATATGTCCATTCACATGTTTACTGCTGTTGCACAACACACTGAATGTGTAATATGTGACTGGACACAGTTGGCCTGTTTCATTTTAATTCAGTGCATACAACATGGTTGGTCCACTGCCAGCCTGCACACTGTGTTTTGAAATTTAATGTTTTTATTATCTGTTCTGAAGCTGCCTCAGTTTCGTTCATTACAGTTATAAGCCACCAAATTTAACTCAAAATTCCCTCTTCTTACAATACTAAAGTGATGAATACATCCAGTTCATTCAATCTTTTGTATGTCCTTATGTAAGCATTCAGGCTCTGGCAGCTCGAAGTTTTATGTTTTACTTGAAGGTCCAGTGTGTAACATTTAAGAAGACCTATGGGCAGAAATGGAATATAATATTCATAGGTATGTTTTTTAGTGTATAATCACCTCACAATAAGAATCATTGTGTTTTTGTTGCCTTAGAATAAGTTGTTTTTTGAACCGCCATGTTTCTACAGTAGCCCAGAATGGACAAACCAAGCACTGGCTGTAGATATGGCATTTTTTGAGTTTTCATTCATTTCATTTCATTGCGAACGTAGTTTCTCCTATATGCTGGCTGCAACCTGCAATCTTACCTCTAGATGCCACTAAATCCTACACACTGGTTCTTTGACATAAAACTATCCACATACACACACAGACATAAACACAGCAATAGGAGAAGCAACGGTATTTCGTCTTAACATGGTGTTTAGCAAGTATACTTTTTACCAAATTTCAACATTTGGCAATTAGCACAGAACACAAAGTAAAGCTGAGACTTATGGGAATATCATTAGCTTTTCAAGTATTTTGCCAAATTAATAAACCAAAGCAAACGTTTGACCTGCTGTAGGTGCTTGAGGTCAGAGGATCATCAAAGCCGTTAGGATTCATCATCTTGGCATCATAGATATCTGTACCAAATTTCATGGCAAACTATCCATTAGCTGTTGAGATATTCATTAAAAACCAAGTTAATGGTGGCGCTAGAGCAAAAGTCAGGTGATCACCAACGTCAGTAGGATTCCTCCTCTGAGGACAATGAATGTCTAATTTCAGCCATACAGTGATATCAGCCTGCTGTACAGTCACCTCAAATATAACTTTGGTCATGCTTAAGACTAATGTCATGTTGAATGCTGAAATGTTAGTAATGTTTACATTGACTGTCACAGCAAAGACCTTACAGCATGCAGCCGTCTGCAACTGTTTATTCTGACTCTGGAGGTGTACTGAGCCCACATAGCACCACAAAAGGAACACTGAATCTTAAAAACATTATTTTCTAAATGTTCTGTTTGGATTGTGAAATGGATTGTTTTCTGCACCACAAGCAACAAAATGGCTGCTCCCCCACACTCCCTCCCACTGAAAGGCAGTCAAACACAGAGCTAGGAAGTCGATACTCACCGTCACTTCAAAGTTGTATAGAATCTGCATGAAAAGGGACAAAGGTAGCCAAACAATGATCAGTTATCTGAGCATATCACATCTTCATGGAACAGAGAAAGAGAGAGAGAGCTAGAGTGAGAGCGAGAGAGGAAGAAGAAAAGAAACAATAAAACAATGTGGTTCAGTTTCTGTTTGCTCAGCTGCTATAAAAACTTGCCCCAGGGCCAGAAGGCAATCAGGAGCTGACCTGCAGCAAGTTTGCATGCCAGCTGGGGCAGTTACGTTGATCTTTTTAAAGCCCAAATAATGGAACAGTTAACCAAAGTGCAAGATGATCTCTGCAAGAGGTCACATCTTTATTGGTGGATCATTTGCACCATTTTGACTTTTAATTTCCTTGTTGTTGGTTACTTATAGTGTCAATGGCCTACGAGTAAACATAAATCCCTGTTATGACTTGCCATAAGCAATGGTTCTGATTTGGGGCCCTAACTTAACTTTGCACCCAGTTGTCATTTTCACACCTTTTGTCCACGTTGTGTAAGCAGCAAATTTACTTGCACCCAGCTCTGCACCCATGGACGTGTTGGTCTCAAAAGCTGTCTTGTTGGTACATTGCTATCCTGAGGCAGCAGAATGTGATTGTGCTGTTGACCAACAAAAACATATTCATCTGCTATTTGAAGGGTGCATTATTCAGATAATAGGATGCACCTACATGGGCAGGTTCACAACACGTGTATTCAACTACACTCTGTTTGTTACACACGCAGGGACACGCAGCAGTGCTCCTCCTCCTTAGTTAAATATCAGTGCATTTGCTCATATGCAGTCGACTGGAGTTGGGGATTGACAGTCCAGGGGCCAAGGACCACATACCTGTCCCTCAGCGAAGACGATTGCTGCAGTAAACTTCGCTTATACCGCCCGGCTGTAGCAGACATCTGTAATCTCCTGTCAGATGGCGCACACAGGCAGCTCCGTTTCCTCAGCAGAAAATGGTTCACTTCTCAGTAGGCACAGATGGCTTTTAAAGGAAATGGGAGATTTCATTTAATTCACGCCCCAAAACACACCTACAATTACTAAAGAAACTAAATTCAAAATCTGCGTAGAGATTATGCGCTGTTGGGTACACCACAGACTTGAGACCATACACTGTAGATAGTTTAAATAGGGTGGATGCACCAACAACAGGCCAACATAGAGCCACACCACGCGCATGGCTAAAAAACATTCACCTTCCAGCACCTCTAAAGTTCAAAAATGAACATTTTATATTTCATTTGTTTGAAATTGAATTGCAAAAATAACAAGTTATGGATTTAAGGGGGTAATGCCCTGGAACTACTGTATTAAAGTCAAAGTCAAAATGGCTCATGGTCCCTATGCACCACCCTGCACCACCTTACATTGCCCGCTATGGCTGCAATGTCAGGTGTCCGCATACATTTGGCCATATAGTAGTAATAGTATAACAGCATATTCTGCTATTGCTGTAACTGTCTTTGTCATCCCTCTGGATAAGATTATTAGATAGATGATGAGATCTCTTTTTTAGTTATGTTTTTATCATCTCTCAGAAGATAAATGAACAGCCAGGAAAGATCAGCTCTGTAAAATGAGACCTCACACACACACACACACACACACACACATACATACACACACATACATACATAATGTACATACACACTCACATATCCATTAGACTGTCCTCCTATATGCTTCTCTTTCTCTTTCATACACCCACACACACACACACACTCTGATGTGACACACTGACACACACACGGTAACCTGAGCATATGTGCATCCACAGCATATGGAGACTATTGAATTACACTGAAATATTAACAGTGTCATGGGTGGATAGATAGGTGCTCAGACACACATACACACACACAAAACAAACACAGAGATAGATATTCATATAAAGACAGGTGCACCCACATACATGCATTGTTTGTGGGTTGCAGATGATTCTTTTTCAATCCCAACAATCTTCTATTTTTCTCTTTATTTTAACCTTCATTTAATCCTATTTATTCTCCTCCTCAGCCCTCCATCCATCCCATCATTCATCCATCATGGCAGAGCCGTCTCCAGGCTGGTGGAAGCTAACTTTCCTCAGGAGAAAAAAATCCCAGCCCAAGGTTCTGTATGAAATCCCAGCAGAGTTTGTTTCCAACGCCGCCACTGTCCAGCACGGGTCCGGCACTGCCACCGGAGCTGCCACCCACCCAGAAGACATGGTGCACAACTCTCAGCTGGATGCCCGGCTGGAGAGGATCGTGGACAAAACGACGGCCAGCAAGGGGCGCCACGTTAAGGTGTCTCACTCTGGGAGGTTTAAGGAGAAGAAGAGAGTGCGAGCCACTCTGGCAGAAAACCCAGAGATGTTTCCAGGAGGTGACCCCATGAGGGATGAGAACCAGAGGGCTGGGAAGTGACCAAAAAATAAGAATAACGCACGTTCATAAAGACATAGCTACATAAACACATAAAGACCTACAGGTTTAATCAGAGATACATATTTAAGAGGATTATAAAAGTTGGTGTTTGGGTTTATGGCTCTCTGCCCTTATTGTTAGTTGATGGAGCCATAATATCCAAATGTGGGAAAACCCTTGGCCTTAATATCTTTTTTGCAGAATTTTCTAAATGACCCACTCTAAAAATGTGCCTAGTTTCTATTTCTAAAGCGAAACTTGGGGTTTTCCCATTCACCACCTAGTGGCCACTAGAGGAATCGCATCTTGAGGCACTGGTTTCATCTGTGGAGGTTGCTGCTTCATCCACATGCTGTTAACAGGATAACGATGGTTCAACCTTTCCGGAACAAGATCTTCAACAACTAGTCCACTGTATTTTCTTAATGTACTTGGATTAAACCTTTGACCTTTCCTTTACTGGATGGACCAACCTGGCTGTGTAGCCACTGTGACTGGACCTTTGGACCTCATGTGAGACTGCAGCAGTGACATGCACTAAAACTGAGGGCTGGGATCCAAAAATGTTCTTTGGTTTATAGGTTTAAAGTGTAATTTACAAAAATCAACCTGAAGATGTTACTAGGATACAGCGGAAATTTGTGAAGCAAATCACAAAGGTTGCAGCTGACCTCTCTTGACTCTAGATTGGAGATCTATAAAACCAATCAGATTGGTTGATTGATATTTGAAGTAAAGGTTTTGGGGGGTTTTTACAGTCAATGTTAATTAGTGTCTTTGTGATGAATTTGATGTGAAGAGAAGTCATTTTGCTGTGTGTCATTACATCCTACGTTACCACCTTCTATAAAGAAACACTCCCTCAAATGACTCATTTGAAGGTAGTACTTGATAGACTTCTTGAAAGGTCAGCTCACCCGGATAACAATATATGATATTTTCTCTCTCTCTCTTTTATTTTCCTTCTGCTGAGTTTGAGATATCTACCACTGACATTTCTCCTGCAACGCCAATGCAATGGAAAGTTCTGAAACATGATACGAATATGCCGTAAAAAAGATAAACTGTGTGAACTCATTGTCCTGTTAACTAGCAGTTAACAAGCTTGTTATCTCAGTCAACCTTCTGCCCTCTCCAGTACAAATCTCTTGGTTTTGGGGGAAATGATGTGCAATGCCAAGCACACAATGTCGGGGGAGTAAATGACCATGTACGTAAAAAATTGAAAGGGAGCTTTTGTGACTGACTAGCACTAGCATATTCCAGCAGACAAACCTAGTGTGTTAGCAGTTAGCTCGCTAGCAGCAGTTACTCTACAAGTTGTCACTGTTACCAAGCTTCGGTAACTGAGTATTTAGCAAAAAGGCTGAATATCTCTGTGGCACTTTCTGGTATGCCTGGGCCTAAAAGGAGCAGTTTGTAGGATGTAGTTACAGATTGCAACTCCCTCGCTTCACCCTCCCCTTCCAAGCACGAGGGTTTGACAGATGAATGCTACCGTACAAAAATACATTACTTTATTTACTGATTTGGGTGAAACTGGATCATATTCCATAGAGAAAATATTTTCTGGTTTTACCTCTGATGACCACCGGCTGCTCAGTTTCAACTCTCTGTGATTTACAGAGTTTCTTGATTGACAGATAGCTTTACTTGCTAAAGTAGCTAACCGTTAACTAGATAATTGTACCTTCCGTTAGCAAGAAATGGAACGGGACCGAATACAGCCTGCAATACCAACAGGGAATACAGTACTGAGGTTGTTTACAGAGTAAGTAGACTAACTGTTAGCTGACTCAATCCCTAGGTGCCAGGAGCAAAACCCGGCTAGAAACCCACCTCGGTACTGTACTCCTAGTCATTAAACTGGGAGTTCCCAGTACAAGTCCCTCCCTACCTGCCTGTTTTTACAGGAAACTTGTGAATATGCAAAAGCAATAAGGACTTCTCTAGCTGTCTCATGGAAACGTCCTTTATTATCTGATCTTGATATCTTTATTATCTGATATTCATGTCTTGTCTTGATTTTGTCTTGCATCAAAATGTAGTTCTAAGACCTTCATTAGCTCAGTCTTTTGCCTCTATGTTGAATATTGCTGAATTAATTTGTCTTTAATCATACTGCAACACAACTCATTGTTACACCAATTCCAGCAGGTTCATCCAACCATGCCTCATGTAGCCATAGGTGTTAAAATTAGTTTTAAAATTTTTCCAACATCTTTCTATCTATCTATATCTAATTATATTTTAAACCTGAAACACAGTCTGGGTTGAATATTGAATTTTCACCTTTCAGAAAACACCCTGTCAGTCTGACATGTTAGCTAAATAGCATAAAGCAAGTGGCTTAGCTTTTTTTGTAATCAGGTAAATGTCAATGTCTTGTGATGATACTTGATATAGAATTATGAATACTGAGCAAAATATGCAATTTAACCTGAACTTGCACATGGGCATGGAGAAAGGAGTCTGATCAGTCCAGCTGTTGATCATATGAATGTGTGTTTCTAGAAAATGACTTGAAATGAACATATCAGCAGTAATGTCTATCAATATCAACACACCCTCTACACTTACATAGATTTGCAGCAGAAGACAAACACACTGCACATACATCAAAACAGCCAACCTGCACACATTCAGGAGATTAAACCTGTTCATTCAAACACTCCTTTACTCTGGTTTTTGTGTTCAAGTTAAAGACTTGAAACTTGTTTTCTAGATAGATATCAGTCTCTCTTGCAGCATCTGGATTATATACTCAACATCCAATCAATAGATAAACTTCAGGCTGTCACTTTGATGCCACTTTCTGTTTTGATTCTGGGGGAAATTAATGTAAAAATGTAAGTTGATACTCTATTCTTCTCCAGTGATAAAGTGCTTCCACAGTTGCTGTAATCAATTCAGCTTCATATGTCAGTGCTGCAAAACCTGGGATATGTATCATAGATATTTTTTGTATAAATAAAATATTATTTAAAAAAGTAAATGATTTCTTCTTGCAATTGATTTGTTCTCAAATATAACTCTTTCTATATATATATATTATTTATAAGTGTAACAGCTATCAGGAGTGTAAAAAAAGGGCAGAATTAACAGATCATTATAATCTAGTTTTGAACTGTTCATTAGCAGTTTAAGAGTTGCTGTGGTCAGTTCAAACCACAAGGGGGCGTCCTCACTCTATTTAAAAAATCAATGTATTTTTTATTTAAATGAATGTACAAAAATCAGTCATACTTGTTCATTAACAAAAAAGAGAAGAAAAAATAATAATAGAAATCAAAAGGTGATTTTTTTTTACAAATATAAGAACATTCAGTCTTAATTAGAAACAACTTAAAAATTAGGTTGAATTAAGACATTTAGCTTTGGTACAATACAATACAATTTTAAAGTTAACAATAGTGCATAAATTATCATAACATTCAAAATAAGTAAATGTAATACAATAGAAAAGATGAGTTGATCTTTATTGTTCAGTCTTGCAGAAAGTATTTGTTGTGTATTATATATTATGTCTGTTGGTGCATTTGTTGCTCATAATATCAACAATTTATATAAAGAGTGTACACAAATCTGGGAACCCCATGTTCTTTAAGCTTTTCATTTCAATTCCATTTAACCACTGGGTTTGGATTATATTACAGAGCTAAAGTCTCTGAACTTGACCAGCAATGCTTTCTCTTTAAGCTGCACAGTTAAATAGCTGAGCATTAGAAGCCAATGAGTCCTTTAGAAGCTGAAGTTTCTGTCATCCCGGTTTGGTAAATAAAGTGCTCACTCTTCCTAAAATCCTCATCAAGGTCCCTACACCTTCCATCACAGTGAAAACACGATACTGTTTGGTGCCATTATGCTCTCTAGTGGTCAGAGGCAATATTACATATTGTATACAGTACTGCTTGAAAGTATGTGACCCTCCTGAGCATTTTGGAGTTTTTCTAATGTTTTACCATTATTTCTCTCAAGTATTTATATATATATGAAATAACAGGTGTAGGTTTATCAATTCCATACATTTTTTGTTTAGTGATAAAGTGGGTAAATACAATCAGCTGGCAGATAATTGTTGGCTAAATGAATTAATGAAATGAGAGATGTTTAAGGGAGAAATTGGGCAAAGACACAATGCATTTGCAAAGGCAACAGCACAAATGTAAAAAGCCACAAAACCAATGCAAAAGACACGTTCGCATTGTGCCTCTTTTCGTGTTGTGGCTTTTGCATTTGCTTTCAGAAGCAGTGTGGGTTTCTCTACACTGGAAGTGATTCTCCTTCCTGACACTGACACAGAGACACTGAAGCACCAGACGCAGAGCTTAACTTAAACCTGAACGCAGGATAGAGGGGTTCAGTGAATGTGCAGTAGAAGGTGTGGAGGTGGATCAGTGTATCAGAGGAGACCCTGTAGAAGGACAGGGTGCCGGCGGGCCAGTCCAGATACACTGCTACTCTACCAGCATCAAAGGAGGAGTGGATACCCCGTATGCCTGTTGTTCTCTTGTTGTGACAGGCAGAGTATCCATTACCAGAACAGAAGAGACCCCAGGATTTGTTGTTCTCGCCAAGACAACAGTCGTCACACTCTCCTTTCCTTTTGATACCCCTGTATGTCACCCCTACATTAACCCATCCTTTCCACTCCACCTCCCAGTAGCAGCTGCTACTCAGACCTTCCCTACACAGAACCTGCTTCCAGTGGTGAAATCGCTCTGGATGGTCAGGGTACGGCTGCTCTTCTTGCACTTCTGTCACCTTCCTGTTGTCCTCTGAGAGAGCGAGCTTCCTGTTTGCTGTGTTTGGGTCCAGTGTGACTTCACAGGCATCTGATGGGTAGAATAAGAAACAATACAGACAGATTTTACCTTGACATATTCTGGTCAATTCATGATTCATTTGTTGATTCATTTGTTGAAGAGGAACTATTCCAAAAGGGTTGTGTTTGTTGTCATTCTTTGTCTAATTGTTGGCAGGATACCTCAAAAATGGTATCTGATTTCACTGGAATGTGATGGAAAGTCAAGCCATGTTTAGTATTTATACTTATTTTAGACTATGCAAAGCAATGTGGCCATACTGAAGCACTGAGGCAAATCAAATCAATTACTTCAAGAATACATCAGAAAGGCTCAACTTACACATGAAGGGTATCAAGCGATGTCTTCCACAATGGTCAAAACTGAGGCCGAAGCGACACGAGAAATTATTAGCAAATAAATACAGATAGAAAAATCCACACTGTGAATAAGCTGCAACTGTACACTAACACAACCAACCTGAGAATGTCCAGTCTCCACTGTGGATCCTCCCTTGCAGCCGAGAGTATCGTCACCCCTGAGTCTCCTGGATGATTATAGCTCAGGTCCAGCTCTCTCAGATGGGAGGGGTTGGAGCTCAAAGCTGAGGCCAAAGAAGCACAGCCTTCCTCTGTGACCTGACAGCCTGACAGTCTATAAATGTATTACAGACATATGTGTTATGTGATTTGACAGACTACCAAGTGGCCTCTATCTTCAATTAGTCAATAATATAGTACCATATTGGTAATGGAAAAATAAGTCATTATTAATCAGATGATTTTTATTTTATTTTATTTTTTGTATTTTAGGCCAGACCAGAGACCAGAAAACTAAATAATTAGATAAATGTAAAGTTATCCTGCCAAACATTTGAACTTTTCCTAAATCCTTCTCCACAATATAAGGATTTAAAATTTGGTTGAGATTAAAGTTGGATTTATAGCAAATACACTATACATTATTAGTTCTTAGAGTACAGGTAGCTGACGTGAACCCCCTCAAAAATTTAACTAGGGTGATGCTGGCTATGGAAATACCATGTGGAGATTGTTGAGAAAAACACATTTAGCCAAGACATCTCCCCTCTCTCTATCAGTGAATGAAATGTAAATATGGCAATTGCACAGAATAGTAGTTAATGCTGGAAATTAAATTAAATTATGATACAGCCTGATCACATACAAAATATCCTTCTAGTGTCATATCAGCTGGAAAAATATGACACTAAACTCTAAATCAAAACCTATGCTGTAGATAGGCTCTGTGGTAATGGCGGGACCCCTTGCATCAACTACAAATCCATCTTAAGAGACAGAGCAGAACATCCGCTTAGCTGATCATGCATTGAATTAGTTCATGACTACTGACCGTAGAGTTTCCAGTCTACAGTGTGGACTTGCCAGCCCAACAGAGAGTAGCCTCATTCCTGAATCCTGAAGCTTACTGTTATTTAAGTCCAGCTCTCTCAGACTGGAGGACTGGGAGCTTAGAATTGAGGCCAGAGCTTCACAGCTTCTCTCTGACAGGTTACAGCCACTCAACCTGGCAGGAAAAATACAAATCAAACATAGGAAGTGTACAATGCTTCTTTAATTTCTTTTGTGGAAACCTTTGATATAATTAATTTGTCCAGTTGCATATATTCAAATAATGAAAGCTCTGACTTCGGGCAACAAAAAGGAATTTTATCTAAAATGAATTGTGTTTAGATCTGCTTTTTTGATCATGTATTGAATTGTTTCATGACTACTGACCGTAGCCTTTCCAGTCTACAGTGTGGACTTGCCACTCCAGCAGAGAGCAGCTTCACTCCTGAATCCTGCAGGTCGTTGTTACTCAGGTCAAGCTCTCTCAGACTGGAGGTCTGGGAACTGAGAATTGAGGCCAGAGCTTCAGAGGTTCTCTCTGACAAGTTACAGCCAATTAACCTGATTAGAAAAATACAAATCAGAATCAAAACAGGAGTACACAATGTTTCTTTAATCTCTCTTGCAGAAACAATCTTTGATATAATTATTGTGTCCAGTTTTTGACATTCAATGCCAACATTTTTTTAATTATTACCATTGCATGGTAAAGGCTCTTATATACTCGCCGTTCCCGACCTGTCCCGCGCCAGCATTTTGGCCAGGCCGCACCAGGTCGCGCACCACTCTTCTTTTTTCAGCTGAGCGCGCCAAAGCAGAAACAGGAAGATGGACGATCTGTACGATCCTTCAATGAAGGAACACAGAGATGCCCAGAGGTGCCAGAATTCATGGCGAGAAATCGCCATGAATGTTGGAAAAGAGGAGGCCATATGCCGGAAAATTTGGAAGAACCTCTGCGACCGATATGGGAAAAAAAAAAAAAAACTTTTTATTCTTCTTCTAGTGCGTAGAAATAGCAAAGTCGGTAGCGACACCTCTGTTCAGGAGAAGACTGCAACTAGTGTCGTGACCACCAAGCACAAGTATAAATAGTTACGGTGCTCCTGTGACGTCACATTGTCGTGCCACAGGTCGGGAACGGCGAGTATACCGAAGCTTTAAGTTGCCACCAGTTGTGAGTGCGTATGGCTAATTGTGAAGTGCTTTTGATAAAAGTGCAATATAACCGCAGTCCAAAGTCTGACATGCTTGCCTACCATGACCCCGACCTCCACTCCCTCACTTTTTGCATCACTACGTAATAGGCACACCACTTGATGCTGGACATAATTTGTGAAATGCGGAATTGTCCGGTACAAATTTAATTCCTAGTGATACACATCTGTGAAAAGGTAAAACTGTGAATGCCTAAACACATGCCTAAGAGATCTGCTTTATTCATCATGTGGTTCATGACTACTGACCGTAGAGTTTCCAATCTACAATGTAGACTCCGCAGTCCAGCAAACAGCGGCTTTACTCCTGAATCTTGCAGGTCATTGTTACTCAGGTCCAGTGTTCTCAAACAGGAGGACTCGGACTTAAGAACACAGGCCAGAGCATCACAACTTTGCTCTGACAGCTTACAGTCTCTGAGGCTGAAATAGCATTAGTTGCAGAGAAAAACAAATAAGACATTGCAAATGCTTGTAGTATATCACCAAAAACAGATTACATTTAATATGGTAAGCTGTTTATCAGTGTACCTACCAAGATATTCTTGAAGCTTTGACCACTGGCAGCAGCCTCAGGAGACCTTCCTCTGAGGCAGAATATTTCCTCAAGTCAAACACTTCCAGGTCTTTTTCTGATGACAGCAAGATGAAGACCAGAGCTGACCACTGAGCAGGAGACAATTTGTCTGTGGAGAGACTTCCTGAACTCAGATACTTTTGGATCTCTTCCACTAGAGAGTTATCGTTTAGCTCATTCAGACAGTGGAACAGGTTGATGCATCTCTCTGGAGAAGGATTCCTTCTGATCTTCTTTTTGATGTATTTGACTGTTTCCTGAGAGTTCTGTAAGGTTTTTGCTGATGGTGTCAGCAGTTGTAGAAGAGTCTGATTGGTCTCCAGTGAGAACCCCAGGAGGAAGCGAAGAAACAAGTCCAGGTGTCCATTTGGACTCTGTATGGTCTTGTCCACTGCACTTTGGTAGAGCGGATTTACCTTGTATTTGTCCCTCAGTTGTAGAGACCATCTGGATCTTGATTGTGGTTCTGACAGTAGATTGACACCAGTGTTGATGAATGTCACAAAGACATACAGAGCAGCCAGAAACTCCTGAAAGCTCAGATGGACAAAACAGAACATCTTGTCCTGGTACAGCCCACAATCCTCTTTAAAGATCTGTGTGAACACCCCTGAGTAGACTGAGGCTGCCCTGATATCAATGCCACATGCTATCAGGTCAGATTCATAGAAGATCAAGTTGTTTCTCTGTAGATGCTCAAAAGCCAGTCTTCCCAGAGTCATGATGATGTTGTAGGTTTGGGGGTTCCAGAGTGAATCTGTCTCAGATCCTCTACGATACTTGACATTCCCTACTCTGGACTGAACCACCAGGAAGTGGATGTACATCTCAGTCAGTGTCTTGGGTAACTCCCTCTTTTCATCTGCTCTCAATACATGGTCCAGAACGGAAGCAGTGATCCAGCAGAAGACTGGGATGTGGCACATGATGTGGAGGCTTCGTGATGTCTTGATGTGGGAGATGATTCTGCTGGCCTGCTCCGCCTCTCTGAATCTCTTCCCGAAGTACTCTTCCTTTTGGGTGTCAGTGAACCCTCTCACCTCTGTCACCATGTCAACACACTCAGGAGGGATCTGATGGGCTGCTGCAGGTCGCGTGGTTATCCAGAGGTGAGCAGACGGAAGGAGTTTCCCAGTGATAAGGTTTGTCAGCAGCACATCCACTGTGGTTGGCTTTGTAACATCAGTCAGGATCTCATTGTTGTGGAAGTCCAGAGGAAGTCGACACTCATCTAGACCGTCAAGGATGAACACAACCTTGTACTTGTCAAAACTGTAAATTTCTGCGTCTTTGATCTCAGTAAAGAAGAGATGAAGAAGTTCGACCAAGCTGTACATTTTCCCACCAAACAGATTCAGCTCTCTGAAAGTGAAGGGAAATGTGAACTGAATGTTGTGGTTGGCTTTTTCTTCAGCCCAGTCCAGACTGAACTTATGTGTTAAGACTGTTTTCCCTATGCCTGCCTCCCCCTTTGTCACCACCGTTCTGATTGGTTGATGATCTCTGCCAGGTAAGGGTTGGAAGATATCTTCACATTTGATCATAGTTTCTGGTCTTGATTGTTTCATGGATGCTGTTTCAATCTGTCTGATGCCATGGCCATCACTGATCCCTCTACTTCCCCCTTCTGTGATGTAAAGCTCTGTGTAAATCTCATTCAGAAATGTGGGTTTTCCAGCTTTAGCGATTCCCTCAAAGAAACACTGGAACCTCCCCTTCAGATTAAGTTTGAGCTTATTTTGGCATACTGCAGTAATAGTTCCTACACAGAAAAACAAAAGTTAAACTGTGAAAGTAGTTTAGTCATTTAGGGGCAAAATAATACAGCATGCACTAACTATGGAATCCAGCTCACCTGTGGTGGGCATAAATGTTCTGATTGTATATACAACCCCAGAGGATAGTCTACAGTTATTAGTTTGGATCTAAACATTACAACATGTTTTTTTGACTTTTTGCATTTCATTTTCATCATATTAAACCTATACAACAACTTACTGCTCTGCAGGGAGTCAGCCAGCTCCTCCTGCTTTATTTTCCTCAAGAAGTGCAGTGTGATCTTCAAAAGTGCCTGTCTGCTGCTTTTCCTCTGTTCTTTCTCCCCACCATCCACCACCTTCTCATCCTTTTTCTGTTCCTCGAAGCACTCTGGGGCATCTGAACTGAGAACTCCCTGGAACTTCTTCAGCTCAGTCTTCACAAAAGCGATAATGTTCTCCTCTAGAAGCTGGAATAATATGTAAATATAAAATTACAACAAACTAAGTCTTATAACCTGTAGTCCAGCAACATCTATAGGCAAAGGCGCTTATTCCAAATGGCAGCACCTAAAGGCGGATGAACAGCACTGCCTTTCTGATGTCTCTCTCAGAACTTTGTGTCTTGTGCGCGTTTTTGTAGTATCAACACAATTAACCATATAGATGGGTATAACAGCTGACACTTTTGGACAGTCTTCCCACCAGTGGATTCATGGTGTTGCACTCGGCTGTACACAGAAAAGTGAGTAATGTAAAGTAATTTTGTGTGCTTGTGTCTTCTCTCAGCTATACAGAGTTTTAGCATATTTCACCTAACTGTTCTGGTGGGCTTCAACTTAACTGTCTTACTGCTCTCATCAGCCTCGTTCCCAGCTGCAGAAGGCAAGTTCTGATCATAAAGCCAGTGTACACCTCCTGCTCATCACCAAATGACTTAGGGACTAGCTGGTAAACACAGTGGAGAATTTAGCTGTTAAAAACTCAAATATTTCCTTAAGGAGCTGGCGGAGACCAAAACAGAGCTAGAGGGGACTTATATTTGTCTGGCTACTAGAAACTCTTTGACTTGAAATTAATGTTATACGGTTGCTATAAGTCAACTGGAAGTGTCAACAGGCAATAGTTTACATCAACTTCATAAGCCATTAAATAAAACTTAAATACAAGAGGTACAGTCTGCAATGATGAGAGAGGTCTCCAGCTGATCAACCTCATTTGTTGTTTAAATGTAAACCACTGAAAGACTGAGGATAAAGATGTCCCAGGAAAAAAGTGTGTATTACAGGGTGATGCTAGTTAGTGTCCAGTATTAGGCTATGGTCCATTATTATAAATAAAAATGTAATTAAAATGGTTTGTTTTTAAAAACACTTTGGATGCTAACTATAGAAAATGTAATTGGACATAAAACAGTGGTTAGATTTATGTTTTAATGTTTTTTTCAGACAGCATGCTAACAATATGGCTTATGGTGACATCTCCAAGTGCCTGCAACAAAACCAACTTCTTCTGCCTGTAGGAATTGAAAATACATTATTGTGATGAGTGTAAAGATGCAATTTTTAGACAATTTACACACCATGAATATGGAGGCCAGATCTGCTTCATTGTTCCCATTTTCAGAGTGACCACTGGTGACCTCTGAACTCTCTTGGAGGAGTCTGTACAGAAAACATGAAATAGAGATTAATCCACAGATATCAACACAAACACACATTCCTATCATTTACCCAACAAAACTGAATGCAGTTCCACAGACAAGCTTTCCCTAACAGCAACCAGATTAAAGTTCAATATTTGTCTTTAAAAGTGGCTCAAACTGAGCACAAGCTCATCTAATTTAAGTCCTGCCTTTGTCCAGTAGAGTGGTTCCCGAGTTTGAAGACAAGAGGTTGCTCCATAGAGTGGTCACTTTTAACAGACAGGCAAGTGGGTAAAGAGGAGTCTGATGTGTCCTGATGAACTCTGATAGAAATACGGAAAGAATGGTCATTCATTTCTTGTTTTATTTGTGCTTCCATTGTGTTTTAAAAATAATTTATTGAATACAGTTTCACCTGTGATCTGTAGGGTGATTCCTCTCTCTAAAGTTTGCGGGTTCAGCAATGGAATGATTGCTCTTCATAGACACACAGCTGGGTTCAGGACAGTTTGGTCTCTGCTGGACTGGGCTTTAACAGAGATACTTTTTTGACTCTGATTATTGGGGAGCTTTAATGATTTCACATCTCAGATCTGACATAGAAAACAGCCATAACTGCCGTCCAAAATCCTTCATCTCACCTTTTAGCTTTGCTCTGGCTGCCATGTTCCACAGAGAGTTTCGAAGGCTGATCATCATCCTCTCTCTCCTCACACAGATCCATACTGAGCGAACACTTTTACAGCAACACAGCAGCCTGATTCATGACGATAAGGCAGCTGTAAGTATACATGATTGATTATATAAGAATCCCTTCTTTGTAAAACATACGTTCACACAAAAGTCTGCTATGTTTTGAAACATTTCACCTCGATAACAACCAATGGCGCCGCCAGGAATTTTGGGCCCCATGACAAAAAAATCTAATTGGGCCCCCTCGGCGCAGCTGTTGTCACCACATCTCTCGGACCTAACTGTCCCATCAAAAGTTTTACATAACTCTAATTAAAGGCTTGCAACTGTCTTGCTTCTTATAGTTCAATACTAGTAAAAGCACAATATTTACTGCTGGTGATTTGTACATGCATGCAAGTCTGCATACAGTATGCAGTTCACTATTTGATGCAAGATTAAAGCAACCATAAAAGGCAAAGGCCATCTTTACAGTCTCAATGTATTTTTATTGTAAAATTTCAAAATGGAAACTTCTTCCAAATAAATTGCCCTTCATGATGGGAATAATAAAGTCTGTATCTATAGATGTCATCCATAATTCAATCTAAATGAACGTATCAAACTGGATTATTTTAATATTGTCTGTATCTTAAATGCAGGCTCAGGTAAACACTCACTGTTTCCAACTGTCCAGCATCCAGTACAGACAGTAGGTGTTGTTGTTTTTATTTTATTTCATAATGATCATTATGTGAAAAATAATTGTTATTAATGTGTTTGAATTTCTGTCATTAATAAATATTTCATTTTCTTTTTGTAATGGTAAAAGAGCAAGAGAGACAGAGAAATTCCCACAGACTCCCTGTAATGATGCTAACTGGCCTGTCATTGAACACAATGTTGCTCAGCTTCTTCACTGGGACAGAGAGGGGTACAGTGATGGGGAGAATGGGGTGCTGCTGACTCATCTGTTGTTAAGTCTGGTAAAAGGGGCAGGGACAATGATTTAATATGAATATGTTGCTAAATGTTTCCCTGAACTGATTAATGGTGATTAAATGTAGGCTGACACTAGTCTGTAGCTGGCTATCTTATTTCACTATGGACATTAAGCCAACAGGTTAATACCTCTCACAGACTACAGGCTCCTTTCTTGGTGAAACACTGGGTTACAGATTGACATCCTTTACTTTGTCTTTCCTCTCTCTCTCTTTCTCTCTTTCCTTTTTTGAAAACCAGATTTTGATTTACTAGTTAACATTGTGATCACTGTAGTTCTGGCGCATCTACTGACTGCAATAAACACCGTCACTGATAAGTGCGCTAAAGCAGGACCAAACCATTTCATGCAGATACAGGGGGGTGGTCGGTCAATATGGATGTTTACTTTTTGGTCAATGGGGATATTTAACTTTTACTGCCAAAAACAAGTAAAAACAAAGAGATGATTAATTTTATTATTATATTTGAAATATATATGCTGAATGATGATGGTTTAATAATTTTATATTAGTTTTTACCTATTTTTTGGGGCCCCTGTCAGTCATGGGCCCTTGGAATTGTCCTAACTTTTCCCCCCTATATGACGCCCCTGATAACAACACAGATTTTAACAAGACAAAGACAGTTTGCATGGATTTATTATATGTATTATGATTATAATCAGTATTGGGTAGTAACTGATTACATGTAATTGGGATTATATTATAAGATTACAAAAAAGAAGTAACTAATATCAGCCCAGATTACATTTGAAAACAATGTGTAATTAGATATTAGTTACATTTTCAATGATTACTTGTTTACATCTCTGATTATGACTTTAACATATGTCAGTTAAAAGGAAGTGATACAAAAGTGGATTACATTACTAATTACAAAAATGTACATCTAATTTGTATTCAGTAACTGACTACATTTCACAGTAATGTAATAACAATCCCATGCTGCTGTAGGCCTCAAGACATCATCACACAGACACAGATTCAGCCACTGAGTTACATTTCATTTCCTGAATACTTACCATCTTAACCATAACTGATTCAAGCCTGACCCCAGTTAACTAGTGGCTGGTTTCATGTTGTATTTGGGTGTATATCATTTGAGCAAGATTCCTTTTTAATTATTATTCATACTAAATGTTGAAGTTACTACTCATTTTCGCAATTTAAGTCTTTTCATTCATATCAGTTTAAACTGAGAATTAATAGTTACTGACTGTGTGTTTATTTTGTCCAAGCTTTTTAAAAACAAGCGTTCAAATTCTTCTTTAAAAGTATAATATTTTAGCTCACAACTCAAAGTTATTTTACATTGTTTAATACGGATTACATTAAAGATTTTAAGTAACAAACTCAATTTAGACATACGAGACTTACTTTGACAGCCTGATTTTCTCCAGATCCTCAGAGTTTCTGGGGAGTCCTGACAGCTCTCTTATAACTTCCCCTACTAAGCATTAAGAGAAGTGTGCAGAGAATGCTGCCTGTTTGATTTCCTTTTACATCAGCAAAACAGACCACACAGACCACAGAGACAAAAGGAAACTTCACCAACTTCACACTATGAACTGGTATATCACACTACAATTCACAATGTAAAAAATACTCTATTACAAGGAAAGGTCCCAGATTTGAGATTAAAGTAGGATGGCAGTATCATCAGCAAAATGTATTCAACAGTGAAAATTCTCATTATGCAGAAAAGTCAATTTTACAGTGTTTCATTAAGCCTTTTCTGTTCACTTTCATTCTCTCCTGTTCAGTATTTAGTTTTTCTTCTGTTAAATTGCTGAATCATGCTGAATATTTTTGGCAGGAAGTTGACCTCCTTGATGCTGATGTCAGAAATGCTATAAGTGAGGAGTATCAGGTCCTGTAGTGTTACAAATCCTCCTGCACCTCCATAAGGAATCCACAAGGCCGAACTGTAGAGCTTCTCTCTGGATCCTGTTCTATGTTTTATTCCCCTAAAAAAAAAGTCTCTATAGCGAGCTCAAAAGTTACAGTTTGAGTAAGAAGGAAGTTGTGGTTGGGTGTTGCAACAAGAACCACATGGCACATGGTTGTTGAATGGAAATTCAAAGCGGTAATAGAGAGGAAATAAACTACATTTCAGTTCCTAAAATGAACAGAACTGTTTTCATTGGCTTTGTGAACCATGAAATGCAGCAAACGGATACCTGGAAGTGTGTTTTTAGCTGTTAAATATACTGTGTGTCAGCTTTATATATTATATATTATATACACACACACACACACATATATATATATATATATATATATATTGAGTATATCAGTGCCTGCAACACTACAGGGCTCAACAATATTTGTTGTCACGGATCATTTTCACATCCATACCTATGGTCGGTTTTGGCCAGTGGGTAATTTCTAGCTATAATGTTACAGTAATACTATTACTTTCCCCAGTATCTAGCAGTGTTACGAATTACCACCCCCCAAAAAAATCATTAGGTACAACATTACTTATATTGTCACCCACTACTGATTTGAAACTGAATGATATCCTTGGATACATTTTTGTAATCATTGCAGAAACTACCTTGGAATATGGAAACACTGAGCAGCTGGAAATATTCCCATTACTTAGATTTTAACAAAAAACAAAGAAAACAATGTAATCGTCAATTTTGTGGGGCGTAGCAAAAAAGTAATATACCAGTATTGTATTGTTGTAATTACTGTTGGCAGAGCGTAATAAGTACAGTAATAATATTACTTATAAGAGAGATGAATCATGAGTAATAAATTACAGTTTTTGAGTAACTTACTGATCACTACCTATGGTTAAGGTTACGGAGGGTGAATATGCTATGTTATGTGCAACAGTGCCATCTGGTGGGCAGAGGGAGGAATACCCCCTCACAGATCAAACCTCAGCTGTGGCAGCCGGGGCCTCGGGCCTCTGTGCTGTAAAGTTTAGTTTTTGTTTGCAAGCATCGAGTGCTGGGGCACTTCTCACCATCTCCCGACCTGAATAGCACTAATTTTATGCACAAAAATAAAAAAGCAGCCTCAAGTTCAAATCTGGCATCTAGTGGGATGGTTGCAATAAGCAGGTAAATCCCCCAGAAGTATTCAATTATGTATAAGCATGAGGCCTGTAACCAGTCATTATGAAATAACTCAACAAAATTGTAATACCTTTTAACTTAACAATCTTTCGTAATAAACAGCATGGAAGCAACATGGTTAAATGTACCCTTTGTTAAAACTGAAAACGTGCTCTTAGGAAGTGTGATTGTGTTGATGACTTCTCCTTCTCAGCTTTCCTCCACCTCATGATGTTTTCCAGAGGTCAAGGAAAAGTGTTTAGGAAAGGACATAGGATACTTTTTTTTTTCTGGACTACTCTACAGACAATATCAGGGCCATGTATGTGTCTCGGCTTTCCAGTCACTCAATTTATGCAATTCCAACACTGTTTATTGAGCCCAGTATGCAGGAATATTAAAATACACTTAGCAAAAATAACATTTAAAAACTGAAAAAACTGCACAAGATTAGCAGTGGGTGTGCTTGTAAAGGGGAGACTCAGGTTCCCACAGAACCCAATTTTGTACAGATATCTTGAGGTTAGGGGATCCCTTTGAAAGTGATGCCCATTTGGAGCGTTATTTTGTGCCCTTCCCAACATGCTAGCATGATGGTTGGCACCAATGGATCCATTAGGTCATCTAGTTTCATCTGATACCAGTTTCTTCACTCTAGCTTTAACACAGAGCCTGCTGCAGCCTCTGAAAGACACTGGAGTGTCAGAGGTAAGGATAATGGGGTGGCACTTGGGGTGGACACCCCAGGTCCCTCCTCTGGGCACGCCCCTGGCCAAGTGAACATGCAGATTCCACAGAAAGGCCCCAGTGGCCAGTTCTAACCAAAAACATTCTATCTGTGAGATGACAGTGCTAACCACTGCGCTGCCCTGTTTCACGTGTATATTATATGTCATAATGTCTTTTATTTTACTTTAATTGTGAAACATTTAGCTAATTATTGCATGAAAATGTATGATCAGTTGAAAAATTTATATTTCTTGCTTTTTCTCTCTTTTTTGCAGGTATAAAAGACTTTATAGATTGTATATTTTATATAAACCACACAAAGACCACAAGGAGGCGAGAGGGTCCGTTTTCTCATCTTTTAATAACACATTCATATCTATGCTCTGTTTTGTTTACAAGGAGTTTAAAACAAGTGTTGATGAGGACTAAAGGAATCAGGCAGGCAGAGGGTGAAAGTCCATATACTGTAAAGACCAAAGGCGCCATCTGGTGGAAGGAGGAAGACTTCGCACACTCCTCTCAGTAGCTGGGACGTGAGCAAACAGTCTCGTCATGGCTGCACGATCAAAGCACACGGAGATCTTAATTTTCAGTTTGGAGGCTGAGCCCAGATCAGATTAGTCTCGTGTCATCCAGCTCGGAGCGGCACGAGGGGGGCCTTCCTCCTTCCACCCACAGCTACACAGTCAGCTAAAACAACAGGTCCTTTTGCTTTTTCAAACGACTCATTAGAAGTGAAAATAGATCATCGATCAGTGTAGAAGGTCCTCGCAGGGCGCTCCAACTCATGTAGGCTTTTCACAGAGAGAAAGAAAATGCTAAATGCACCCAAACACAAGAGATACAATCTGCTGTCATAAAAAAAAGAGAGAGAAAAAATTAGAAGTCAACCAAAATAAAACATGAAGAATATCTTGAAGTTAAAAAAAGTGTAAGGTTAACGAAATTGACAAAAGAAAATGCAAATTGGATAAAGAAATCTCATTTATGTTGGGTTTTTTTTTTTTTAAAGAAGAAAATTTAAAACAGTTGGTAAGTTTTTGTCTCCCCCTTTAAGATTATTATTCAATTTCATAATCCTTTGAAAAAGAACTAAGAATGGAGAAAGAAAACAAAATCATCTTTGGAAGAAGTAAAAGTTTTTTCCTTTAATAGACTATCCACTACAGTATATGGAGATGCCGCTACCCAGTTATTCATTTACCTATATTTCTTTCGAGCAACTTTTTTTTTTGTTATTTTTGTGTCCTTTTTCGAAAAAAAAAAAATTTACCATTTACCTATTTTTTTCCCCAAGAGGTAGATCAACAAAACAATTACATGGTTACAGGTGTCGTGACCCTTGATTCAGGAGGTGAAATCACAGGGAGGGGAAGTGGAGCAGCAGGGTGGAGCTGAAGGAGGATTGTGGGTAATTTAAGCGATCGGAGGCAGGTAACATTAAATAAAATAAAAACTGTGTTAGGTGTTAGGTTCTGATTCAAAGTGAGTGAGTGACTAGAATCAGCTTTGGACAGTTTAACAGAAACTGTTCCCAGAGCGAAAGTTAACACCTCGTTCCGACTGAGCCATACGTGAACCAATCAGGTTACTCGATATTCTACCCGCCACATGAAGAAAATCCTCGTCCCGGCTGCCCACGCCACCCCGCTCCACAATGTGTCTTTATTGGGTTTTTTTGTCTTTTTTGTCATTTCTTATTTACTCGTTTATTTTTACAGTCCCATCTCTAAGCTGGAGAGGTAACATTTCAAAAAACCCAAAAATAAATTATAGTTGAAGAGTGGAAAAAAACAACTAAAGTGTGACTGTAACATAGACGGTCCGTCCTTTCTGTCTGCATGTCTGTCCGACTGACTGACTGTTTGCTCTTGTCGGTTTGCGATAAAAGAAAATAATAGAAACAATCTTCTGGCTGAGTTTGCTTATGTTTTGAGGTAGCGTTCCTAGTTATGTGTCAAGAGGTTTGTTTGTTTCGTCTCGGTAGGGTGTCCCTCTGCCGGGTCTCCGTTTTCTTTCAGATTTGTCGAGACTCGGAGCCCGTCTCTGCTGAGGGACGGGGGGGTAGGGGGTTCACGACAAGGAGGAGTCTGCACTGTTTTTTTGCAAACTGTCCTCACAAGAGCTTAGAGTCTGTCTGTCTGTCTGTCTGTCAGGGTTTTCTTTTTTTTACTGTCTGTCAGGGCTGAGCTACATGTTGTAAGGTCTAAAAAGCAAAGATGTGCTCTGCTGCCACAAACAAGAAGCTGGGCAAGATCTTTTACCCAAAACTCAGAATTTCCAAGCTTCCAGTCTTTGAATAAAAGGACCACAGCAGTGAGTTTGCAGCCCATTCACTGCATATATTTTACATTAGTGCTGAGCAGTTTGTAAAGCATGTGGTAGCATTTTAGATTAATGGGCTTTTCCATTACTTTCAATGAGTTTAATTACACTGTGCCAGTCACTTTGCACAAACTTAAAGCTGCAATAGGTCATTTATAAAAATAACTGTCATATTTGCCTAATTGTTCACTGTTCACAGCAGTACATGAGACAGATAATCTGTGAAAAAAATATAAAAAAATCAGGTTCCTCTGGCTCCTCCTAGTGTTCCTGATGGTATTTGCAAGAATCCACCGGGCCTGTACAAAAACAACCAATCAGAGCGAAGAGAGATATAGAGACGCTTTGGGTTGAAGATAGCTGTCTGCTGACTCTCATTCCCAGGGTCCCAAACATATGTATTTGACGCCCTGGGAATAGGACTCAACAACCAGCTATCTTTCTTGGCTCCGATTGGTTGCTTTAGTTCAGGCCCGGTGGATTCTTGCAAATTCCATTAGGAGCACTAGAATGAGCCAGAGGAAACTAATTTTTTCACAGATTATCTGTGTACTACTGTCAGGATAAGGTGAACGTTTCAGCAAAGAACAGCACAGATAATTATCACCCAAACCGGCTCTACAGAATGTTTTAGCATCTTTCAGCTCGCTGTTTTGGTTTTCCAGCCTGCAGCTTTAATGTTTTGGTTCACCGCTCTCTTAACCTCAGTTTCAGCAACAGAAGGCAGCCGTTATCAGTTAAATAGCTCTAACAAACCCACTGTACATTGAAACCTGCTGGTGAACGCAGTGGACATTTAGCAGTCGAAGAGCCAGATATTTTTCTCAGGAGTTTAGTGAAGATGTTTCAGAAAATGCTCAGCAGTAATTTATAGAAAACGGGATAAAACATGCACTGGTACGGTCCTTTTAGCCGTCTTGGAATAAGCTTTATACAACAAACTCAAGTGAGTTTGATGCTTACATTTTTTGTGTGTGGCAACTTTATATGATTTTTGTGCACCTCACACTGCCAAACTCTGTCCTAGCCGATACAACTTATCAATACATCACTCAACTTGCATAAAAAAATGACAGAGTGTTCGCTTTGGGGCCCAGAAATGATCCAGATCTGATGAAAACCAGATGAAACATAAGAAATGTCTAAGGATTTCTGTCCCGGTCGGGATGCAGGCTTAGATTTGTGTGAGATGTTCTTGTGTGTCGAGTGGTATGCATGGTGTGTCTCCGTTTCATTTCGCGTGTGGAGACACATCAACCACACAATGTGTTGTCTATGATGTACATACAAAAACAAGATGAGAAGAGGTCAGTTCCAAGATGAGATATCACCATTTGAATGTAGTAATCTTCACCCTGAAACACTACTGATGTTATCTTAAGTCCTTTTCTATGAGCTCAGGCTATTTGCTCAAAATGGCTCTATACTGCATTTTGGACTGAACCCTTCCTGTGTGTTTGGCACAGTTACTGTCATGTACTGAGCTACATGTTAGTAGTTCATTGTATTTAGTAGCTGTCTTGTTAATAGATTTGTGCATTCAAAAACAAAAAAACAAAACATGATCAACTTAAACTATTTTCATTTTTCCAAAAAGAGTCAAAACATCGATTGTAAAAAAAAAAAAAAAAAGGGTGGTTAAAGTAAGAAAATCGAAAGGTCTTGAACAGAAGTGAGCAAAACGAACACGATGTAGACCAGCGCAAGAGAGGGCGAGGGACCCTAACGTTCCCGCCCGCTCCAAAAATGAAATGATTTTTTTTTAATAAAAAGGAAATAAAAACATCTCACTCTTCTCCTGGAGTACAGAAGGGTAAAAAAAAAAAACGAGGAGAAAGCATTCTATTGTTTTGCGGAAGGACAGAGGGGGAACAGTGAAAAGGGAGTTGGTGGAATTTAGTCAGTTTTCAACACCTTATCCCAGAACACCTGACCACCTCTCCCTTCTCCTGCCTCCCCTCTTCCCATCCTCCCTTCTCCTCTTCCCTTCACTCTCCACCCTTTTTTTCTTTTAAGAATTGCATCAGGTGTTACAGGAGGTTCTCAGTCGGTTTGATAGTTTGACGTTGTCGACATATTTCATCAATTAGTGCAACAGTACGTCCCCAGATGTCACGTCCAAATAAAGCTTGCTGTATTGTCAAAAAAAATAATAAAACATAAAAAATAAAATGAATCCTAACCAATCCAAATGGCTGCAGGCTGAATAATGAATCCTTAATAGCGTGTCTTGGTGGTTGTGAACAGAGCTCTATGGTTTGGAAAGAGGTGGAAACTTAACACAGGACAACCGTGGTGAAGTGTGAAGTTACCGCCTCTGGACAAAAATGGAAGCATAGACACGATAGAATAGACTTTTCCCTGTTTGACGGTGAGCTGGTGGGGTAGCCAATGAAGATTGCCGGTGTACCTCGCCGAGTGCAGGTAAGACATTAAAAAGATTGTGAGTTATCTGGCAGTGTCCTTCAGTGACTTGGCGCAATCTTTCATGTCTACACGGCTTTTCCCATTCTGATTTTTTATGCTTTTTTTCTCCAAAAATACAAAAGTATTGTGATCACCTTTTTTTAACATCTTATGTACAGGTTTGAATCTATTACTCAGCTGTGTTAATGATGTTTTTAAACTCTCTTGCTTTTGCTTTTTTTGCTCCCATTTTTTCAAAATGTTCTTGGATTTCTCCCTCCTCAGTCAGTTGGAACACAGACGGAGGGCCATAGGTTCTCTTCCTACTTTTTTCTGCTTTTTTTTTTTTCAAAGTTTCACCCAACCACATCCCCTGACAAAAATGAACATTTAAAACCAGTGAACACACACACACACACACACACACACACACACACACACACACACACCTGCATTCGCTTTCTTTCTCTCTCACTCACACACGCACGCACACCAAGCAAACACGTAGCCAACAGGGAGCATCTGAGGTGTCGTGGTCAGTGCAAAGGTAATAAATATTCACATTCAGAGAAGTCAGAGCTAGTTCAGGCTTGTGTGTGTAGGTAGAATGCTCTCTTGTCTCCATGTACAGTTATGCTGTAGATGGACGCAAACTGCTGCGTTCAACACAACTCTGATCTGACAAGTTCCCGACCTCCAGGTGAGACAGATAAAGAAAGACGGGGTGAAAACGAGCTTAAAAGCCCCTCTCTCACAGGTCTCTCTTTGTGGGTGAGAAACTTAACCTCTCGAACACTTTAAAGCCCTCTCACAATGTTTGGCGCATCATGATGATGTCATCACAATAAGGCAGGAGAGGGAGGTCCTTCAGGGCACAGGGTGGGCCAGTAGCCACGAGAATTGGCAGTCGCAGTGACGTAACACGACCTGAGGTCTGTGTATTATCTTTAGTTTCAACCCCTCCGATAAAATGCGCTCAGTAAAAAGAGCAGCCAGTGGCATGCTGGGTCACCGTGTGCATTTCAGGACCCCCTCTTGAGTTAACACCACTCCCCATTGGCCAATATGCTGTTTCAGACGGCTGCTCCAATCACACTTCAGGAAGACAGAGAGCATGTTTCCTCACCTAAAAAAAAGGCAAAATGGCACTCGACCCATTTCCTCTTTAGACCAGCATTTTATCGCTCTCTGCTTTGGGAAAAAAAACACAGCCTCCTCGTCATCCTGAGCTCATTCAACCATCATCACACCAAAAAAACAGAAAAAAATAACCAAAGCAACAAGACAATACCTAAAAAAAAATACTTTTTTCTTTAAAAAAATAAAAAATATTCAGGACTATCAGCTCTTCTTTTCTTTTTTTTCTTCTTATATAAAACACCAGCAAGCAAAAAAAAGTTAGGAATACTGAGGTAACTTTACCCTGAGGTAGGTTTTTTCTTTTTCATTTCTTCTCTAATCTGTTCTAATCTTGGCGAGAGCGTCCAGGCATAGACCCCGCCCCTCATTATCATACGCAGGCAGGGTCTGGAGGCTCCGCCCACAGGCCTTTGGCAGATTGGGAGAGAGAACGAGGAAGCCGCTCCCCTTTAGACTGATTTTACCCTCTAAACTCGAGGCAAGGAGCTTTGGAAGACTTTTTTGGTTCCCGCACTTGGCCAAGGCCAGTCTTAAACATTTATTTGAAATGAATACAAGCATTAGAGGCCATGTTTGTCCAAATGAAGAAAGTTGGCTTTAATGCAGGGATGGTCTTAAGGACCCCAGCTCCTCTGAGGAGAAAGCCATCCTGTCCAAGACTGGCCTCGGGTATCCAGCACTGGAGGAAGGCAATGAGCAGAAAGTCTCAGACACACCTTGTCTGTCTGTCATTGCAGGACTAATTCATACAGGTGCTGAAATCCTCACACCTGACTCGCTGCCTTTAATACATTCACCCGAGGGGCCGGGCTAACTCACATATCATATATATATAATATATATAAAATATGCCGTTTAAGGTGCGGGCCGCTAGCCACCTAGCATAGCTGCTGGCTGTTTTTATAAAGTTGTTTTATAATGGTTTCACATGTGTGAGCTAAGCCGCTGCAATAGAACTGCAGGACCAGCTGCGACCTCCGCTCCCCTTACTGTCTCTTGCTGCGCCTTCCGCCACACGGCTAATTGTGGAAGGGGGAGCTCAGTGCCTCCCCAGCCCCCGGCCTCGTAGTAGGCTACATTATGCTTCATAGGCAAGGGACTGGGAAATATACAGAAGACCCCTTTATAAAAAAAAGGCAAGGCGGCCAGACACAGCATTTCTTAACATTTACATGAAGATTATATATTTACAACCTCATATTTTCTCCTTTTTTCTTTTTTTCTTCTAATCCCTCCGCTATTCGGAGAGGTCTTTAAAGAGCAGTGTTAACATCTGCGGCCCCTCTTCTAAACTCTCATTGGCTAGGAGGTTGGGGTGGGTGGGGCTAATGCCAGACCCGTAACCTATCCCCCTGCACCGCTGCAGCAGTTTCCCTGCTCCCTCTCCCGGCTCCGCCACACTGCATTCTATCAATAATAGCTCTGAATAAAACATTTCTATACATATATCTCTATGTTTAAAAAAACCACCCTTAAAATATAGGACTGACTGCAGATGGTTGGAGAGGTCCGTAAAGGGCGACAGAGGAACAAACGGGCCCCTGCTAGTGTGTCTCAGGAAACAAATATTTGTCTAGCCAGCCTCTCCCCTCTGCAGTAGACCTGAACCCATGTGGACAGGTGGAAACAACAGCAGTAAGGCTCCATCCTTACAAGAAGAGTAATGTCGGCCATTTTGTTTAAACCTGTCTGATGCACGATCTGTTAAAGCTGCAGCAGATGAGAAGCTGGCTGCAGCCCTAGCAAGGCACACTAGGAGGACACCGCCCCTTCCTCTCTCCATCCATCCATTCCTTCATCCCTCCATCCTCAATCAGTCTCTCTTCTGGCCTGGCATCTGGTTTCTGTTCTCAAGTTTCTTTTTATCTTAATCCTCTTTTTTTATTCATTTCAGCTTTTGATTTTATTAATCTTCTCTTCCTCTCTAAACGCCAATCTTTCTCACTGGCTATCGGGCGTACTACCTCCCTCTTTATATCTCTCCCTATCTATCGCTGGGTCCGTGTGTCGCTCTCCTGTATCCGTCCGTCCGTCTGTCTATCCGTCCGTGCATGTGTCTGTCTGTCTGTCCGTCAGGCCGGGGGGGCCAACGGCATGTAAGGAGGGTTCTGGGACCCTCACTTCCTTCGTGGCTGGTGGTCCTGAGACAGTCCCTGTGTAGGGCTGCCCATCTCTGTGAAGCCCTGGGGGTTAGGGCCCGAGCCCGAGCCCGAGCCCGAACCTGAGCCCATGCCGCCTTTCTGTGGCTGTTTGACCTGGGTCAGGATGTCCCGGATCTTCCTCTGAGCCAACTGGAGGACAGAAGAGAGATGAGAATGGTTTGTGGCAAATTGAAATCTGGACCAGTCAGGCTCTGTGAGTAAAAATATGTTATATTTCTATCTATCTATATATATATATAATATTTTATATATTATATTTATATATATATATATATATATATATATATATATATATATATATATAATATTATATAAGTATAAGCAAGGTTGACAGGACCATAAAATTGAGTATCATCTGCATTAAAACACAATGATACTCAATGCATACTAATTGTGTGATGAGGGGAAGCATGTAAATAGAGAAAATAATGGGTCCCAGAATCGACAATTGAGGTACACCACAAGTCAGTTCTGTAGACAAGGAAATTAAGCTGTTAAGTACCACAAAGAAATACCTGTCAAGAGGCAAGCCATATGACATTTGTCACTGATAAACACTATCTTTTTTTTTGGTAGCTAAGCTAGCACAGCTAGGCATCATTACAGATTAGCCCTATGTGGCTACCACATGGGCATAGCCTGCTGGACAATTAATAATGACAAAATCATAAAATTGTTGAACTATGTGTGACATTACTTTTACAAAGTTGTATTTGTTATGTTGCAGTAACTACCTACAGTGTTAAATGTGCAACATTATTTTAATGCTAATAAGAAGTGGTAACACTGGCCTATGGTGGAAATTCAAAAGGTTTTGATAATAATATGAATTCATAACTTTTCTATCAAGATATTTTGTTGAATTTTCATGGGGTATGTAATCATTTATAACACTAGTTACATGCTCTTAAATTGACTAAGTTATATGTTGAAGCCTACTGAGGCTACAGAGAGGAGGAGTACCTGGCTGGCGTAGAAATGTCCATTGATTTTGACGATGACCTGGTCATTTTCATCAGGTGTCTGTTCCCTGGGGACCACCACCTCAGCTGCTGTCAGGTTCTGCAGCTCATTCACCTGGAGACACACATTCAGGCTACTTTAGGAGGAAGTGATCATTTTATACAATGTTGTTGGTTTGAGGTTAGTTTTCAACTAGGCAACCAAGGCACGCTATGCTAGACGGAACTCAAGTGTAAGGTTCAGGTGGTTTACCGTCTTGCCTCCCTTGCCAATGACCCTTCCTGCGGCAGCAGCGGCCATCTTGATGTGAGTCTCCAGTTTGACCTCCTCCTTGGGACCAAAGAAGTTCTCTTCCTTCAGTTTACCATAGATCCTGCCCTGGGCCTGCAGGAGAGAAACAAAGAGGTTAATAATCCATTTTAATATTGTCTCAACCATGGTTTCTTACTCAAGTCAGTCCAATTAAGATACTATGAAAAATAAATGGGACAAATATTAATCAGATGGTAATGTTTCATAAGTGTTTACCTTAAACTGAGCCTCAGGGGGTCCTGTCACAATCACCATCCTCATTTTAGAGTCAGGAGACTCAGCTGGGGCGATCTGGAGTAGAGGAAAGATACATCACTGACTGCCAAGGGTGTAGGTTTTGTTACAAAAGTGTGGTGACACAATGCAGTCATGGGTTCTTCAAGAAAAACATATTATTGTGCTTCCACTAGTACTGGTAGTCTAATGAAATAATTAGAACAAGTAGTTTGTATGTAACCACGAAGAGGCAGAAACTCCCTGCTGACTAAGGGTGGCTTTACTGATAATACAAGCATTTCTATGAACAAAGAGCTAGATTTTAGCAGTTGGACAGTAAGAGGATGCTTTAGTGTAATTCAGTGAGTAATATATTTGTATTGTATATTTGTCAAAAGTGTAAGGCGGATGTAACAAAAATCCAATTTTGACAAATCCCTGTCACTTTTCCATATTTAATATGTAGCATGTCTGCTAATTCTGTGAAGTACAGTACCTTGATTGAGGCCCCAGCAAAGCGGCTCAGCTGTTTGATGTGCTGTCCTTTCTTTCCAATGATGGCTCCCACTGCCTGTGCTGGGATATACACATGGACCGTCTCCTGCTCTGGAGCCTGAACACACACACAAAGCACAAAAATTCACTACATAAACTGAATATCTATTATAGGACTAATATATTGTTACTGGTACATTTTGAGTTGTTTTATATGTCTTAAAACATAGTAGAGAATTTTGGTGTGAGATCCAAAATAGGGGACAGTAACTTCAGTTTCTGATCAAAGAAAAAGAAACACAGCAATCTTCTGCTCCTTCAGTTTTCATTTCAGAAAAACAACTTAAATTTGAGTTATTTTGCTGTGTTTTAGAGGCTTTTTAAAGATTTTTTGTCACCCTTTTAAAATTTTCTCAATCCACTACACCTTCAAATGAGGGGAGAATCAGCAGAACTGTAGTAGTTATGGTTTCAAAAGACAAAAACAATATGTTAAAAGGAGGTGGTTTGCACTGACGTATCTCTCAGGAAATGAAAAAAAACAGGTATTCTTACCCCAAAGCAACCATAGGGGGCACCAGCTGATGCGTTTCCAGGCGGGGGTGGGGGCATGTTGGAGGAAGAGGGGAAGAGGCCCAGAGCACCCAAGTTAAGCCCAGGGATCAGGTGAGTCTGTTGCTGTCAAGAGGAAGACTGCAGGTTAGAAACCATCTTGAGCACATGAAAGATGGTGACAACTCCGACTACCATGAAAAGTGACATAATGTAATAAAAACACCATTGTAGTCTTTTGAACCCCGACTACATGAGTACTTTTACAGGTACTCTGCAGAATAAGAGCCTAAATGGAAAACAATATTCTCATTAAATAACATGAGCACACTTACACTTACACACTTACTTTAACTGTAAAAAGCTTTCACTGCAAATTCAATTTAATTTACTTCTGCTGTTGAGGAGTAGTTAGATAATGCTGCGGAAATAATTAAAGGATTTCAAGGATGTGTGTGTGTGTGTGTGTGTGTGTGTGTGTGTGTGTGTGTGTGTGTCCAGACTCACATTCATAGCAGCGATGTCATTCTCGTAGGCCTCTCTGACCTTCTTCATGACCTCCACCTCGGCTAGACAGCAGGCTTCAATAGAGCCTTTGACTGTGATGGTTCTCTCTGGATTGTACAGTGTCAGGTCCTGAAGACTGCACAGAGGAGATGGAGAATGGTTACTCATACATACGTATAGCTGATCAGTTAAGTGATCAGCATCTTTGAGTTATTTGTGTTATGCCAGTATTCTAAAAAGTATTCTTCTCTCTCATCAACGGCCTTATCAGCCACCAAAATTCCTTCATGACCCTGATTTGCAATGCTGAATGAATTGAGACTTACAATCAGAGCCCAACGTGTGTGTCTGTGTCTATGTTTGTGAGTCTTACGGGGAGATGGTGATCTTGGTGTCTGTGTCCTGTTCAACTTTTTTTAGATTGCGTCCCTCCTTCCCGATCAGGCGTCCGACAAAGTTGTTGTGAGCCAGAATCTTTAGAGGAACCTCGTCGGCACTGGAAAGGAGAACCACTGGTTAACTTTTTTATCAACAAACTAAATATACCAAATATGTCACTCCTAGATTCATTAGGTCATCTGTCCAGTTATGCTGCCTCATTTGAATACAACATGTCCAATTGTTGTTTAGAAACTTACGTCTTGGTGTCTTTAGCCTCCTGGTGCATGATGTCCAGGATCATGCGGCAGGCGGCTGAGCAGCCCTCAGGGGTGGAGTGGATGCTGATCGGCTTCTCAGCAGCGCCGGCGTTCTCCTTGCGGTGCACGTCAATCCTGCAGCGACGGGAACAGATCAGAGTCACTTCATGAAGTCACTAGGTTCAGTACTTCCTGAGTCGAGTACAGGAGTTCAAAGTTTTACCATAGGAACACTTCTCTATAATATACCCATGAATCTGTAAATCAAGTCACTACAATTATTAGTTATATAAATAAAACCCTGAAGCAAATAACATTTAAATGTGCTTTAGTTTGACACAGGAGACTGTATCATTTTAGAAACAACAGAGCCTTTTTAGATTGAACATTGTGTGTCAGGGAACTAAACCTTTTTCCACACACGTGCTGTGCTGGCCTGGCCTGACTCGGTTCACCTCAGCGCATCAGCCCAGCACAGCAGGGATTTGCATCTCCAAGGCTACTGAAGGTGTGTCTTTACTGATGATGTGTTTGTCTTGAGTTAATGATGTTTAAGAGCAGCACCCTCTTTAGCACTGTTTACTATTGCGCTGTGCAACAGTTGTTGGTAGACAGCTACTTGTCATTTTGCTTGGCATTTGAAACTGCTGTCTGCTATGTCTGGCACGGGCAGCACAGGCTATTTAAAGTGTTGCTGACCAGACGAAGACCATCTGATGTCACCGCAAACAGCTTAAAGGGGAGTCCAGCGTGCTTTGTCAGATCTGGTGCATTTAAACCGGTAATGGAAACGCAAATCAATGTAGCATGTTTGACTCGGCACAGCTAAAATTGCCAATGGTAAAGTCCCATTTGTGTCTCAGACGAGTGTTACATATTAAGCGATAATATTGGAGCTGTCACTCTTGTTAATCTGTTGATCCAAGAGTGCCTGTAAGTACCTGTTTTGAAAACAAGGCATTTTTATATTCCAATGATACGGTGTCATTTTCGCGATGCTTCTTCTGTGTAGCATAGACAACTGACAGCTAAACTGCACAATAAATGTATTTTTTGGGTTTGGTTTGCATTGATGTAGTTCCTATTATTGTTTCATTACATATATTTTGTTTGACTTTTAATATATGGGGACCATATGAGAAACAACCTTACTTTAATCCGTTCCCTCGAGGACTGGTATGTTGTTATAGTTCCATAAATATATATATTACATATTTAACCTTAGGGACTAGTTACTTAATAAAAATGATTTATAAAAACATGTCATAATTTCTACTCCTCTGCTCTGAGTGCGTCACACTTCATAAATGACTGTAGTTCAATTCCAGTGCGAGTACAACAGGAGTACACTGAGGCCTGTCAGAGTCACACACACACAGATAAAGTGGGCACTCACTTGCTCTGCGTCTGCTTGGTGATGTTGCGGATGGTGGCTCCCTCCTTGCCGATGATGGCTCCGACGTACTGCGTGGGCACCAGCAGTCTCAGAGGGATGTCGGCGTGCGGAGGTTTAGAGGGCATCCCGGAGCTCGGAGACCCACCGCGGGGCCCGCCTCGAGGCCCGTAGCCTGGGCGCCGGCCATTGTCGGGCCCCCGCTGGCCTCCCTCCAGCTCGGAGTTCTCATCTGGGATGTAGGAGACGCGCAGGGCGTTGTTTTCAAACTGGTATCCGTTCAGCTTCTGGATGGCTCTGAGAGGGGCGGGAGCAGAGGGTCATGTACTGCACTTGGCATGGAAGGCGTACAGGAAGCATCCTTCCATATTTCATTGAACCCATAACAATATTTTTATGCTGCATTTTGTTACAGTTGTAGTGTGGATTATTTATGGTAATGATTGTTAACAGACCAACACTAGCAGCAATTGTCATTACTAAAACAAACTTCAATATTTCCACTTCACATATCTGTACAGTGCCATTTTTTAATTATTACCGTTTTTCTGAGGGCATTTACTCAAGTATTGTACAATTTTGTGGTATTTGTCTGCTACTATACTTCTTCTGCACTATACTTCCTTTAATATTTTACATTTTCACTGCATTAGTCTGGCAGCTGTAGTAACTAGTTACCTTAATCAGGAATTGTTTTTTACCAAACATAATCAGCTGCTTAAACAAGCATGCATGCAGTAAAACCAAGATAAATCCATTGTTTCAAATCTTCTCTTTGTATTTTCAGTGTATAACTGCTCATATTGAAATAGATATACCCAACAGTATATAAGCTACATCTAATAATGCACTAATAGAAAACAACACTCCGATGGGGACCAATATGTTGCCTACTGAGTATTTTTACTTTGATATTATGCTGCTGGGACTCAAAAGCAAGTTTCATGTTGTAGTTCCTGTAAATGACCACTAGATGTCACTCGTGGAGCGCAGAAGATACAAGGTGCTGAAACTCTCACAACAGTTTGATTTAAAAAAAAACTAAATAAATTACAATTCAAGGCATTTATATTTTTTGGGTTATTTGATTATATATTTTAATTTAACAGGCTTAAACAGACAAACGTGAGTATTCTGTAAACTATCAAATAATGATGCCATTTTTAAAGAATAAAACAAAAAGACTGTAAAAGAAAAGTAGACAATGGACATGTAAATGTCAACAGGAGATGAACTTACTGCCTGGCATGCTCCCGGGATGCATATGTGACATTAACCACTGCAGTCTCACTGTCTGTGTTCACTGAGAGAAAGAGGAAAAAAAAGACACTCTTAGATACAGAATATGTTTATTCACGGGTCAGAAACATTAGGATTCCCCCAACTCCTTTCCTCAAAGCTCCAGCTGTATCAAACTGAAATGGGCAGCTAGAGAGAGAAGACTGCACCCTCACTTTGACTCTGATGCTGATTTGCCCAAAATTTAATTCTGGTGTGGCCATCATCAGTGGCGGGAAATCTTCTCTGCGCGGGAAATGATGCATCAAACACACCAGAGTGAAATCAGAGCTCCACTCAGTAAACAGCAAGTCAAAGCCAGACTCCACTGGTAGCAGTGAGACATTAATAAAAACGAGTTAGTGCGTTTCTTTCACTCTCAGTACATTTAAGTCTATAGTCTATTTAAAGTCCCCCTCCACTCTTGCTGGAGGTTTGAATGCTGTCTGTGCAGAGTTTGACACTAGAAGGAGGTTTTCACATTCATCAGTTTCTCTGTGCTCACTGAAAATCTAATTTTAAGGGGCGGGGGCCTACGAGTATGATTTGTAACATCACGTTTTTTTCCCTAATGTAGGCCTAGAGGGCCAAAGTTTGGGTCTATCATTGAAGACTTTGGACAAGCAACATTGCAACAACCATATCAGATGTTTTCAGACGGGCCTCCTTGCACTTTAGTTTTCAGTTCAACTCTGTTTAAAGTGCTTCATCCGTCCCTCAGTTTAAACAAATATCACATTCACTCGCATGAAACAATGTAAAATATAATACTCAAGTATTATAAGACTGTAAGGGTTAGTGGTCATACTGTAGCTGACAGCCAATACCCAAAACCACAAAAGGCACATGATGTCAGAAAGTGCATTAATCAATCTATACAAGGTGAACTGTTTGTTTTACATACAGGAAATCTACAATGCATTCCTGAAGGCGTTAGTAGTAAGCTGTACAAGTACAAGGGTTTCTCAAGATGTCACTCCATCCTCTTCAAATGGAAAACGTTTTGTATTAAAAATTACAACCTAAAGCTCATACAGGTGTTTGTTGTGACATACATTGGGCCATGGTTATTATAGTTAACTAAAACTAAACTAAAACTATATATAAAAAATTATTTTAGTTAAACCGAAATAAAAATAAAAACAACAATAACAACTCTGCATTGGGCCTTATGCAGGAAGCTATATACAAACAAATTCCCTCTCATTTGTGTTCATACGCATGATTTGTTCTTATTATGTTAGCACCTATCCATTTCTGGGATTTAACAATGTTTTTGGAAAGATACATCTTATTTTTAAAAAAGGTCAACAAATTGTTTGTCCAACACAAGGAAACATATGTTTTTAAATTCAAGGAACATAAAGAAATCAAAATTTAAATTATTATCTTCTAAAGTAATCACGATTGGATTTGAGCATTAGTTGAAGCCTATAGAAAAAAAACTAAAAAGGTGCCCAGTTAGCTGAGCTGGCGACCCATGTACCGAGGCTGAGTCCTTGCTGCAGCGCCCCAGGGTTCGAGTCCGACCTGCGGCCCTTTGCTGCGTGTCATCCCCTCTCTCTCTCTGCCCCCCCATCCTGTCTATCTTCAGCTGTCACTATCACATAAAGGCAATAAAAGCCCCCAAAAAATAATAATAATACTACTAGAAAAAAAAACTCCATGTATAAATGGATTTTATTTGATATAGATTTATACAGTAGATCTCCAACATGAACATGCAACATTGAGCAACTGGTGTGTCTGTAAATGTCTCCTCACTGTGACGGAAACAATTACCACCCTGCTACCACTCGGGGCCGGCAAAGTGCCGCGTGTGACCACAGTGTTGCAGGAATGGGGACTGCTTTGAGGTCTTGACTCGTACTCTTGACTGTACTGTTCCTGCTCTTGAGTTAGCCATTTTTTAAGACGAATAAATAAATGTAATAAATAAATAAATAAGCCATATAGGGCAGGGGTCAGTGATGTACCCAAACCAGAGCAAAGATCACAGAGGCTTGAAGTTAAGTGAGGGTAAAGCTCAGACGTCTTACCTTGTTCACAGTTTTCTACAGTCCCACACTGGGCCAACAGACCATCCAGCACCTGACACACACACACACAGAGAGAGAGAGGGAGAGAGAGAGAGAGAGAGAGAGGGAGAGGGAGAGAGAGAGAGAGAGAGAGAGGGAGAGAAAGAGAGAGAGAGAGGAAGAAAAGACAGAACATTTAAGAACACACCTATAAGCTTAGAGAGTAGGGTTCCAAAGACATTCATACATTTGGCGCTCTTGTCTTTTAAATCAGTGGTTCCCAACCTTTTTCCTTAACAGTGCCCTTTTCTATCACTGAGTAAACTGACAACCTCTGACTAAGCGGCATAGTTACAGTACGGCATACGGACTTGAAGTAACTGCAGAATGTCTGTGTAAAACGAGCACTTTGGAGACGTTTCGGGCAGATTATTTCCTGATCAGAGCATCAGAGATGAGTTTTCCTGATATTTTTAAGAACTTTTTATACAATTTATGCTAATCTCTGACATTTTTGTAAAAAGCTTATATTCAGGTCTTTTAGGTATATGTCTTAAAGAGTGATCTAAACTTTAAAAATAATTTCATGTAATCAACTAGTATATTTTTAAGTTTTCTTCAAACCACAAAATCAATCACCACCCCCTGTGAAGCTTTGGCGACCCCCAGGTTGGGAACCACTGCTGTAAATACCACATCCAGTCTCATAATATATTTTTCGTTTCTGTTTTCTTGTGGTCCTATTTTTTGTTGTACAAAATAGAAAAATACAAATCAAATTTTTTTTTTTTTTAAAAGGGTTTGCCCATCCCTTTTTGACCAAGAAAAAGATAAAACAGCTAGTGTTTAAATTTAACTTTTGTATTTTAAAACCAAAATCAAATAAGCACTCTTTTTTAAATCCCTGTTTCTGAAAATAAAATAAAACTAGCCATGAAGGGATAGTTCTAAAATTCTATTCAAATGAAGTAAATAAATGTAAATGCACAATTTAATAAGTCATGATGATACAGTATCTGAAAATTAGCACCAAAAAAAGACTTAAAAGAAGATAAAAAGTAGCTTATTGCTGCTGCCTCTGACTTTTCAGGTGACTGGGGCTGGATGTCACTTCGATACTCACAAGCTACTCATTTGGTTTCGATTCCTTTAAAAAAAATAACAACAAAATTCTATGAATACAAATCGTGGGTGGCACTTCCAAACCTTTGAAGTACTTTTGTATAATGCTTGCCCCAATAAATAGCCTTTAGCTTGTTGGTGTCACACGACTGTGGAAACGTGTGACATAAGAACAGAGCATTAGGCACTTAGCATTGTGAGAGAACAGTTCAACTGAAGATAAAAATACAGCAAGATGCACTATTTATGACGAGAAAGTGCCACACGGCGTGCAACACAAGTTACCTCTTCAAACATTTAAAAACAACACTGAGAGCTATAAGGAGGCCGAACAAAAACAAGAAGATGGTCATCCAAGTCTCCTGCACCACCCCTCTCCGACATATATTGCACAAGAGTTTTCAGGGTAGGTAGGTAGCACTGTTATTAGTTACCTCTGCCAAGGAACTGGCAGGGATGATTTTTTTTGTCCCGTCTGTGTGTCTTTTTCTAAAAATGACCATTATTTTGAAAAATGACTCTCAGTCAAGAAATGATCAGTATGCTTAATGTTAAAATTGTAACAACCAAGGGCCCCAACATGGGAGGGCCCTCAAGTAGCCTTATTTGAGTAATTGTTAGTTCTTGTAGTTTGTACTGACTATGGTCTAAGACAATATTCTCTCCCCCCTTTGAAAGGTGCCCATGGTTTAGTCCATTTAGAGTTGATGAATTAGAATTAGTTAGAATTGTGTAATTGCAGTAATTGTGCTTATGATGATGCTGGGGGCTCTTCTAAATCCATTTACAGCACCTAAAGTACGAGCTGAACTAATCACAAATCACATTTTTCAAATTCAAAATATGAGGCTAGAGTGTAAGGTTTTCTTTACGTAGTTTTTTTTTTTTGCCTTTGTTTTGTTTTTAGGAGAAACACCTCTAGAACAATAGGTTAGGAATTACTGTTCATCATTTTTGTTACACACATATTCTGGACTGACTTCTATTGTCATTGTGTGAACCTTAGAGACATTTTATTATGTATTCCTATGAGGAACCCTTAGTGACTAACTACTAAATATCACACAATACAGAAATGGCTGTATCTCAAAAACTAGTTCTATCAAATGCTTGTTACCATTGGATTAAAAACTATTTCAATTTCAATAATATGTCAGATTTGATCCAAAGTTAAATAGATATTTAACATGTCAAATGAATGTTAAAACACACACACACACAAAAAAAAAAAAATACTAAATCAATCTTGGCTACCAATTAAGGCATAATGAATATGTGGAATCAAACATGTTGGTTTTGACATGTGTAGCTACATGTCTCGACAGTTTCCACTGCAGATTTTATGTTTCCACCTCTAACAGAAGGGGGGCTCTTGCTTAACATACTAAATCTAGCCTTTAATTATTGGGTTAAAAATTGGTTAAAATTGGTTAAAATGGGTTAAAAAGTGAAGTGAGGAAGAAAGCCCACTGAGAGTGCATACTGGGGCCCACTCCTGCTACACCACTGAAATCCAAAGGGCCTGTATTCATCAAAACTCCAGGAATTACACTTCAGACTGAAGAATAAAGAGAACAGAGCAATGGAAAGGTTGTTTGCTGAGTTTGAGCCACAGGACACATCCATCAAGCAACTTTCTGCTACTTACAGTGAAGTGCAAGAGGAACAGTTAAAAAGGCAGCTGGAGAGAGCAGGAGCAGCCAATCAGAGACGAGGGTTTACCCTGCATCTGATCCATTGTTCATTCTTTAAAACATTATGATTGGAATAGGATATCAGCTGAAATGGAAACAAAAAGAAAGCTAAACTGGAACAGCTGGTACATGGTGTACACAAGCATTCACAATAACAGAAATGATTCATTGTGATCAAGGATAGTTTATACAGTGATATCTAGGTTGTACTCTTTAAGCAACCTCAGACACCTCTGGGATACCTTTAGCTAATTGATTTGAGAGAAGGAGTAAAAGTGAAGGATCTTTACTTATATCTTTCACTGGATCCCAAAATGTAACTCAGAGGCTCAGGTCTGCTGTAGAACAGGTGGATTTAAAGAAGCGACTGCTTATATGTCCCCAGTAAGCACAATAGAAGACATAATAAATATAGTTTGTTTCTATCAGATGGAAACTCAGCAAATACTTGTGTACATTAAACCTGATTTTTGCTTTCATAAACATTTTTTAGAGCAAATGAACAGATGTCTTTGTTTTTCCTCTAGAGTTTTGCTTCTTAAAATGTAGGAAAATATATGCAATGTTGTACTTACTATAAATAACAAATAAATGACATATTACAACCTTTGCTTCCTCTATTTAACCAAACATGCTTTTATGAAGTAACAAGTGTTTCCTTTGTCCCTCCTGGTCGGCACTTGTGTCTTACACTATTATTCATTTATTCTCTGGATGCTGTGACTTCTGACCCTCATTAAGGTGCAGCAGCATGTAAATGACACCTTTCAGTCACTTCTGCGGAGAGACGTCGCCCCCGTGTGGACGCACACGGCAGGATCAGAGCAGCGAAGAGACTGAGGAAGAGAGGGAGGTGATATATTCAAATCCCACACACACACACACAGCCACTCCCACAGGCACTTGCTGCCAGAGGAGGCAGGCAATGTGCCACACCCGCACAAAACACAATGCGAGCGCACACAGATGTACACACACAGCTACTCACACAAATTGAGAGATTTGCCTTTATAGTGTTATAGTTTTATCCAAGAAAAAAAAAGTGTTTTAATTTTTATGTTTGTTCAAAGCACTTTTACATTCTTCAGAAATGATATTTGTGGGGAGGCTTTGGAGGGTTGACTGTATGTTCACTGTGCTTTTTGTGTTTTGTCTGTAATCTCTTTGGTCCTCCAGCCCTGTGTAGAAACTATGAATCTATAGCAGTGGTTCCAAACCCACAGCCCAGTCTGATTAACTAAATTACCCCTTCATCAACACCACAATTTATGTTCCAAATGGATGTTATTTAACCACTGAAGTGGGTATAATAGTGGATGATACAACATTTTCATACAATTGAACTATCAGTGCGGTTTGATGCAGTTTGCATTCAACCACATGGCCGTCCCAACCATGTATACATGACTTTATTATTCAAATAAATGTTGTTAAGAATTTTAGAAGGCGTACAGTCTAGACATGCTTTATTGTTATTGTCTTAAAGTGTCCTGAGATAACTTCTGTTCTTCTGCTATACAAATAAAATTGAATTTAAAGTGAATTGAGCTTTCAGTGATCTATTTCACCAGTTTATCCATTACTTTTAGCTAATTAATTCAATTATTTATGTATGACTTCCAGATAACCATTTTATCTCCTCGGCTTTCCAGCTAACTAGTTTTCACGCACTTATAATTGCAATTAAGAAACCTTAAAATAACTAAATGAACTGTTCTCACTATGTGGATGTATATTTTAATCAAATCATTAATTCAATTTTTTCAAATTAGTTGAGCTGCTCTATAATCTCTCTTTGTATCCCCTGGCAACAGCAGAAGTACCCCCCTGGGGTACAAGTACCCCTGGTTGGGAATCACTGGTCTGTAATATTCATATCATTTTCCAATAGTTTTAACATTGTTGTCTGCCCCTGTCAAATAGCCTTACAGTCTCTTTTTTAAATTGAAAGTACAGGTTTGAATTCTTTAAGTCCTAAACTAATATATAAAGATTGTATTAAATGTTGATCATCAATAATGTCTCTAAACATAGCAGTAAAACAGGCGTATATGTTCAGTCTTGATGTGGCTATTGTCATCAGTTAGTCAATAACAGGGGTCTCAAACTGCTGGCTTTTTGTGTGTGTTAAAAAATTAAACTACCTCTTTTACTAAAATAAAAACTTAAACATTTTATTTTAAAAATGTATTTTGTTTGGCACAAAATAATGGCAAAGGTCAAAGGTTCCTGTAAATGTGTACAAATGATTGATAAGAAAACAGCAGGTTTGGGCCTTCATTTGTTGTTTGGCTGCAACAACAAAGATAATATAAAAATATATTGAAATTGCTGTTTGCATTTTTTGTGAAGTATGATATTAGCAATGGATTATTTCATTTCTTTATATTGCGCTTTTTTATCGTAGTTGAGCAGCAGCCAGCAGTGGCCCCAAGCCAATTTGAATTTGAGAGCCTGAGAGTTTAAAAAAGCACATATTCAGACTTTACACTTGCTATGATGAAGTAAACTGAAGTTAGAAAGAGTGAAAATAAAATATTTCAGTGCTATAAAGCATCCAGAAGTAGTTAAATTTCACTATTAGGTGTTCAGTTGCTTATGAGAGTCCAATCCTTACGGCCTTTCTTTGCTTCCATATCTGTAGTGCTGTATTGGCTGTGCATAGCGCTGCTATGTAGCGCCGTACTGTGTGCATGTTTGCAAGCTCAGATGTTCATGAATGTTCTGTGAGTGCATTGTGCTGTACAGCGGCAATGATCAGGACATTGTACACCCTGTGACATTCTGCCTTCCTCACTGTGGCAACCCAATCAGCTCCTTGTGCTTGTTAAATGTTACTGTACTTCGTATCATCCAGCCCAAGTGACAACATAACTGCAGCAATTAGCGATCAATCAATAGGTTAGAGCTTACAACAGCTCGCCCGTAGGTTGATCAATATATAACTATTAGTTAATGTTCGATTCTAATCACTGGGTTCCCATTGGAATCATCTTTCAGCTGAAAGTCATTCTTCTCCTAACAAAGCTGTGAGAGCTTTATGGTTTGAGCCATACGTCCATGCCACGATGTACGCTTCCTGGTCTATGATTCACAGTCAGTCATTCCACTGAGGTAAAGGCAAATATGACCCATAAACAACCCCCCCCCCCACACACACACACACACACACACACGCCTCAAGTGGTGCAAATATTTGCAGTGAGGTCGGCCTGGGTGGCATTACAAGCTTTAACATCCCAACCTCCCAGGATCAGAGACACTGGGCCGGACTCTCAGAGAGCGCTCTACGTGAGCCGGTTCTCCTCAGTTCCTACCACCCTACGCAACGCACGTGTGCATGGCTGCCAGGGTTAGCACTCCTAGACGACCCTAAATTGGACTTTCTGCAATCTTTCCAAGTCATACTTAGTGAGGCTTTTACTGCTTTCACCATTCCTTTCCCTCACCTTCACAAACACAGATACTGACTCCACACAGAACTAGGAACTTGCACAAAGTTGTTTTGTTCTTAACTATTCAAGATTCAAGAAGCTTTATTTATCCCAAGGGAAATTACTGTGCAACAGTTCCAATACAAAGGTGGGAAAGTAATACAGGGTTAGAGTAAAAATAAGCTAACATAAAATAAAATAAATAATCAAATAAAGGGTAACATAAAATAAATCAAACAATTAAGTAAATGCAACAAATGCAAGCACTTACAGATAACAGAAGTAGAATAAAAGAAAACAAGTAACTAAATGTGATATATCTATCCAAGGCTCGCATTACAACTCTTTTCAAACGAATAAAGAACACTTGTGGCCTCTGGAAGAATTTTAATTATTTTATCACTTTGTGATGAGAGAAGCAATACCAGAAAAAGGACCTGTTTAATGCTCGATTTAAAATAGCTCTTATGACTACTGTCCTACCATGAAATAGTTGTGTTGCCTACTTTCTCACATCCACACAGCTGACTCATCACTGCATGAAGCAGGTGTGAACATTACACTGACATCCATTATCCGACGTCAAAAAGATGTACTTCTGACAGAGTATACTGGCCCCTTACTGCTCGCTCCAAGACACTTAAGCCTACCTTTTTATGTGCAAGTCCAAAAATGATAAACAAAATAAAATGGTTACTGTTCTTGAAACCTTTTGAATACAGTCTTGAATCCTTTTCATTTCTCTATTTTGTGCCACCTTGTCTCTTTCCTCCTCTTCACTACTGCCTGTGACCCAGAAATCAATCAAAAGAACGCCATCTTGAAGGATGTCTCAATTCCTAAAATACATCTCGAGGAGAGAGGAGGCATAAGCAAGGATGTACAGGTGTACCCTAATGTTAGTGACTAAATTCCCTGTAACTTATCCCCAGCACAGCCTTTGACTGGCTGACTATAGACAGCGTAGAGGTTAGAATGCCTCTTTGGAGCTGGTATTTAGCTTTACTGACTCTAGTCACAGATGCTAGCAAGTTTTTTTTTTTTTTTTTTTCGGAGAATCCCCATCCATACAGCGAGAGAACTAATCTGAAGTCACAGTAACAGACTGTACATGATCCCAGCTAGAAAGATTAATAAAAAAATATTAAAATAGGCACTCACCTCCCATTGCAGGTGAGGTGGAATGTTTCTGATCTGCAGTTTCCTGGTCCTGTGGAAAGAAGAAGGAGGAGGAGAGGATATTAGCAAGTTAAAATCATTTGCAAACAGAAATAAAAACTTTCTGGGAGGAATAAATCAAGCTGGTCATGGAAAGAATCAAGAAGGACAGCATATCAGCGCAGTACACGTGAGAAACACTACGTCAGTGCATTGATGACAGATCTAACACTTTCCCCTGCTGTGTTAGGCTGAGGGTTCGGGGATGAAAGCAAGTGAAAGGAAGAAGAGGCCACTGAATGAAGCCAGGACGTGTCTTGAGAGACAAACAGGTGGAAATTGGAAGAGAGTCTGTTCCTTTGATACGAACACCAAATTAACTCCATCTCCACACTCCATCCATCAGCTCTGACCGCTTCAACTAACATACGAGCCCTGTTCATGACACGGAGCACTGAACACGAGACCAACCACACAGTCAGCTGCAGCTCCATACACATCACTACTCAGCCATTGCATTGTGCTGTGTCAAACATGGTTTTTGTGTGCCGGCATCATTAAATTAAAGGGTGAACGTTACTTTCTTTATCTGTGGCCTTATGGAAAGCTAAAAACTACAATCGTGTAGGAGTATCTTTTTAGGGTTGTGAACCCTAACCCTGGATGGGTAACTCCCCTTGGAGGACGCGTTCCACACGTGCCAAGGCATCTACAGGAAGCCATGCCCATAATGCATAATGGCCGCACAGATAGTCCATGTGGTCTGGAGCTATGCGGACGCCCTCGGATGATGAAATTTACGTCACGTGTGTACATCTCACCAATGTACTACGTGTTTCATGTTGTAGAAGCACTATGCGTTATCTTTAGGGCAGCACATACTGGCCGTGTCTTGACACGCTTTGCGGTTTGATGCCAATATCCTTTTTACCCAGAACCGATGCATGTCAAAGCTTCAGAAAAGCAGTACAGCAGCTGTACAATATCCCCACTGTGAGCTACAGGCGTCACTATGCACTGCACCTAAGCCTTTTTCCCTTTTGACTGAAACTTAACACTCCTTCCTGTTAATTCTCAGCACAAAGAAATGGCAAATTCCATCAACAAAAAGACAATTCTTGCCAAGAAAAGACTCTTTTTTTAGAATTACGGCTAATAAGCATACATGTTTCACTAGAACACATCAGTGGTCAAGGCCAGCAAGGCTTTGCCACTCAATTCTGGAAGTACCAGCACTGTTGGTTTGGCTGTCGGGATTTAAGAGTCAACTTCAAGCCCGAATGCTACTTTGGAAACAAACCTTTCCATTTCAACTGCTCACAGATGGAGCAGTTGAGTGTGAGCAAAAGGGGGTTGGGATTCTGTGTCTTTCTCAGGGAGATATGTCTTGAATCATCGCAACGTGTCGCCCATGAGGTCCTGATATCCCTACGCCATCTGTACCACTATCTCTCTGAACCCAGATAAACCACAAGAAACGTCTTGTTCTTGGCTGCTGTACTCATTCCAATTCTTGACGTGACCACCAAAACATCTCTGTGGATAGGTTGGGGGTGGCAATTTCCAAGCGAGTTTTTCGTTTCTACTTTCCCAACACCCCTCACCCCCAACTGCTATAGTCCACCATTATGGGGCTCAAGCTCCAGTTGTTGGAGAAATCTACTGAATGAACAGCAAGTAGTGGGGCAGCTTCCTGCTCAACCACCCACGCACACAGTGGGGGAAGGGTAGTCCGCTGAATAGAAGGGTGGCAGTCGTGTATGTGTGCAAGTGCATCTTAATGCTGTATTTTTGCCAGTAAACATGTTTGTATCAGTTTTCGTGTCTGTGTGTGAGCACGTTTGGTTATGCGTGCTCGCTGTTATCGCTGCAACGGTGAATGTGTGTATGCTTTCTTGGCTGCGTCTTGTCCTTTACGGCTGCATATGGACGTCCAGAGTGCTGACCCTCCTCCCCCTTTAGCATTCAATACATAAGGAACACAAAGCACTCCTTCGCTCTCTTGTGACCTCGCTGGGTTTTCGATTCTTGTGATCTCTTGGGGACTCTCATACTTGGGTATTTCTCAGTGACAAGAGGGTTTGATCCGTTGTGGTTTTGCCATTGATTCTGCTTTTCAATCCCATTGTCTTTATCAGTTGGTAAATACTCACACAGAAAGAAAGTCTAAAGCATAATCTAGGTCTATAGCATTTATTTCAATTTCTCAATCCCTGCTGTACTAAACTAAGTTAACTCACTGAAAGGAGTGCATATGTCACGTTTTTGGCTTAATAAGTCCCACATAAAAGGGCATCTAGAATCAGCCTACAGAGGACTATTTTTCCATCTGCTGCATTAGTGCTGTGCCTTTGGCCCTCGGCCTTCTTACTGAAGCTGCTTATATTGAAATGTTTTAACGTGAAGCGTTCCAACTTTACCAGCCATTACCATCTTTACCACTCCTTATCCAACCCTGCTCCCCATCCAACTGACCATCAATGGCCCTAAACCCCAATAACAACCAACCCCCATCTCCACCTCACACATGCATAACTTTCATACCCAACCCCACCCAAACCCCCAGGAGGCTCCAGCACAGATGAATAGTCTTTTGTGCATCCAAAATACCTGACATCCCCCACCCAAAAAAAAAGTGGAAAAGCCCTTTGATCCTCGATCAATACTCAGCTATAGCCGGTAACTCCACCCCCAACCTGCTAAACACACAGAAAAAAACAGACCTGTTCTCCACACCTCCACATGTGTAACTTCCACCATACACATCAAAACCTTCATGACCCCTGACACACACACACACACACACACACACACACACACACACACACACAAAGTTCCACCTTATCAACACATCAACTGCCCATTATCCTCTCCAATGCCCCAGTCCACCCACCCACACACATCACAACCCCCATCGAGCCACCAACAGTGAACTTGTTTGACCCCTACCATCGCCGCCTGCTAACCCACGGCCTACCCCATTGGCTGAAACCATGGCAACAGGTTAGGAATGGGCGGGCAAAGAAGATGGATGGGCGGGCGGATGGACAACAAAACAACATGCATCACATTTGCTTACGCGCTTGTTCGCTCATCTGTTATCTTTTCTTCCTCTTTCATTTCAAACATCTCTACCTTTTTCCTACATGGGGGCGAGCTGCCTTGTTAGGTCTCCCATCCTCTGTCAACCTGAGCTACATGCTAAAACACTTCTATACTTCATACTACACTATTAACTTCCAAAAGCCCTGACACAGTATTGTATTATCATCACAATATCATTAACACCAGGTTTATTAGTAGCATATATTGCCCTACTGTGACATGAACTGCATGTTTTAATATGCCTGAAAAACAACAATATAGCTGAATAGAATTGGAAGTGAATAACTTAATTGTCAAAATATTCCATTTAAAATAAATTTGCACCACTGAAACAAGAAAGAAATCTGCTCGGAGACCCTCATCCTTGACTCATTGTTGTTATGCAAAGATGGAAACAAATTGTCAATGAAGCTTGAAAATGTCTTAAGTCGAACGTAAAAAGTGGAGCTGTTGAGGTTCCCTCAGCTGTGAAGGCATTAAATCCATGCTCAGCTCCAGCCTCCAGAGGAACAAAGGGTTGGAGAGAAAGAGCAGAAGAAAGAAAAGAAGCCAAGAGAATGAAAAGAGTGTGGTCCTCAAGGAGGAGGTGGAGGAGAAGAGCCAGAGGAGAGAAAAGGCTTTGCTCCTAGGAAGGGGTCAAAGGCCAAGGGTTAGAGCCCTCAGACCAGATAGAGGGGGCCCTGGGACCACAGCGAGGCGTGGCACTCTGTGTGAGGGCGTTGTCCTGCACTTATAGACAAAAAATACAACGGAGTAGAGAATGATATATGAATCAGTGTGATCTTTTCAGAGTGAAATCAACAAGACTTTCCTTTCAGCTCTTTATTCTTTAAAGGCCACAATTGTGTATGGTATTTATGTATTGTGTGTCAGGGCACCACACCAACAGGTTCCTTCTGAGAGAGTCACTCCTTTACCCACTGATCTGCACAGTGGTACACACTCAGATATGGAGCTAATTGCCAATTACACCTCCACACTAGGTGCTACTGCAAATCTAATCGCAGCAGCAACTGTAACACACAGACTGCTGCGCGGTGACACCCAGCGAACGAGAACCTGCCCCTTTCCAAATTAACACACCGAACCCTTTGATTGGTTGAAAACGGCTGTCAGGTATTAATAGTGCAGTAATGCTGTTGATGTGCTTGTCTGGTGGTTGAATCAAACAATCACACCCAGTTTACACAGTAGTTGGTCGGGTGTGCGGAGAGGTTAACGCAGGCCAGCTTTGAGCTTCTCCGCCAAACTCTTATTTTGTTCTACTTCTGTAACTTTTGTGTGTACAACAGAGTGCGAGTTACGCCACAAATGCCTCCAAGAGACTCATCAGATCCCAACAGGTATAAACAATTTCAACAACTCTGCACAACATAGTCCATTTGAAACGAACTGAGGCCTTTAAATTCCCAAGTACCACGAAAGAGTTGCATTAAAAGGACCAAATAAATGTATATACCAGCCTCCATGAAATGATGAATGATAAAAACAATGTGATTTGTTCTTGTGATTCATGTGGAGCACTATCTCACACACAAAGTAAGCTACTGGCAAATATTTGACACATGAAATGGAAGATATCGTCTGTGAAAACATCAATTACACATGTGATAAATGTTCAAATAGTGAAAGAAATCACATAATCCAGGCACATGTGCTTTTCTTGTGAAATATTTCACATTTGCAGTGAAACTGTAGCTGTCTTGTGAAAACCACGTGTCCACTGGGATTTATTTATTTATTTGCTTAAGAAGTGTGAAATGTTCTGAACCCATACATGAACACTGGATCCTTCTGTTTATTTAACTAAATCTGGCCGGACAAAATGTATTGTTTAGATAAAAAATAGTTTAGATCTCTCGTTGTTGTGATAACTAATGACAAATAAAAGAGTATTCCTGTTCGCTCAGCGCTTCCATGAAAGGACCTCTGGTGAGTTATTGATCG